ATGACGACATATCACATTAAGAAGACCATTAATTACTAGGTTAATTATATTTTTAAATTATAGCAAATGTTTTTATTTCAACAAAAATAGGGCAGTGCAAAGTTAAGATTTTTATAAAAACAATCATAAGTATACTTACCTATTTCAAAAATCTCGTGTACGTACACCACAACGCAACTGGAGGCTCATGAGCCGATAGCCCGATACTGTAGAAAAGCCGCGCCCGCGCTTGACAAGTTGTAAAGCCATATGGTCGATGACACTGACAGTGACAAGTGGCGCTTTATTTTTTTGTGGCAAACTTAATGCTATACCGTGGTCCTTTGACACCTCTCTATTCTCAAATCTCTGATCTTTAAATAAAAAATAATATTGTCCTTTATAAGTTATTATATACTATAATACTCCATAATAAAAATTAGTTGCAAAATTACTCTTGAATATAAGTATATTATTTGAAAAGCGAGGGCATACGTGAGATTTTGAAACTAAAATTACTGGTAATACTGGTTGGTCATCATTATAACTTTTCGTATTAGAGACAACCGACAGTGCTCAAAGTTTCGTAGTTCTTACTGTTCAATTCTGTATGTAAACTAATACCTTTCATTGTAACAATTTATTGCGAACAAACTTCAAGCAAAGCTTGACTATAAGTAAAACATATTTTGTTTCAAGCTCGCCGTACAACTCCCTATAACTTTAATTATATCCTTTACAATCTATGTAACGTTTATTTATTAGAGGTGACACTCCTTGTAGTAATTTTCTTTCAAGCGACTATATCTAATGAGATGGTACTAAAATGGTCCCATTTTTTCAAAAACAAATCCAACCATTAGACTCAAAACTGGAATTATACTTAACTAGCGGCTCACCCTCGCTTCGCTCGGGTTCGTCGCTAGGTACGTTTTAAATAGATATAAAAAGAAAAAATCTTTCTTTCTCACATTTTAATTATATGTTTTAATACTTACCTATTCCGGACTAAGAGAAATCCAAAAATTAAAATATCATAAAAATTGGAACGCGGTCGAACGGGATAAAAAGTATCCTATGTCCTTCTCCTGGCTCTAAACTACCTCCCTGCCAATTTTCAGCTAAATCGGTTCAGCCGTTCTTGAGTTATAAGCGAAGTAACTAACACGACTTTCTTTTATATATATAGATTTAAAACTCTTATACTTTTAAAAAGTCGATGTAATATTTTCATTAATAACTGTTACTTGAATGCTCATGAGGGTTGCTATATGCCCTGGGAATATTTCTAATGAAGTACCAACTGTGGAATAATTAATTTAAGACACATTTTGACGGCTTGATTATTGTTCTTTAAAGTATAATTCATCTATACTAATATTATAAAGAGGTAAAGTTTGTGAGTTTGTGACGTTGTAGGGGGTAATCATGAACGTATTAGAGACTTCGTTCATGGGGGTAATCTCTGGATCTACTGAACCAAATTAGACGAAATTTGGTAAGAAGATAGTTTGTGACCCTCTTTTTTTAACGTTGGGAAATGCATTTACGCACGAGGTGTGGAACTCACCGGCAAAGCCAGTACTACCCACTAAAACCCAACAAATCCTTCCCCCGTCTTAATGGGGCGTCGCAGGATCGCTTACGCATTCAACTACGACGCCCCGACGGCAGGTCTGCCGAAGCTGACCACAACTCCAAGGTCCACTCTGCTATCAGAGAAGTACCAGGAGCAACCCGCATGGTACACCACCCACCGAAGAGGGCCACCTCCCACCGCCCACCGAAGTGGGCCACCTCCCCGTGCGTTTCTTGGCTTCGCGCCCGGTTGGATTGCCGGGCACTACTGAGCCCCCCCACCGAGACAAGGTGAACGCACGTTGGGGGGGATAGTTTGAGACCCTGGGAATGACATAGAATACTTTTTATCCCGGAAATCATTCCTTAAGGGGGTGAAAATGGGGATGAAAGTTTGAATTGGGAAGCAAGCTAGGGACGAACTCGAGCGAAGCGAGGGTGAGTTGCTAGTAAAAAAATAAAGATGGAATTGATTCAATTTGAAAACATATTTTATCTTAGAAATTATTTTGTTTAATCCCCGACGCAAAAAGAGGTGTGTTATAAGTTTGACCGCTAAGTCTGCTGTGTGTGTGAGTCTGTCTATAGCCCCGTAGCTCTTGAACGAGTCGCTCAATTTTCAGGTAGAGCTCATTTTTTTCGTCTTGAAATCTACTTTTTGAAGAAATAAAAATATTGTACGGTCACCCTATAAAACACCCTTAAAAATTGAAAAAATTGAGAAATCGATAATGTTTACTTTGTAAGCTAATTTTTTTTATAATCATTGCAAAAGTGTACTTTATTGACCAAATTTTTAGAAACTGATTACACCAAGTTTTTAATTTGACGCTTATAATTTTATACAAACAAACATTCTAACTTTGCAATTTGAGGAGTCGTGAGAAAAAAAATTGGAAGTCACGTAAGTACCTTTTATTTTGTATTAATTGCGGTAAAATCTATTTGTTATTATTTTTTCGCATTTACCGATATTTTATTAATTTTTTATCACTTTTCCAGTTAAATTTATTGACTTTTTCTGAAAAAATAGATTTTAAGATAATAACAGAAAGAAATACAATTCATTTATAGTCTAATCTTGTTTATTCATTACTTAAAATGTAACATATGTAACATAAAAAAATAACAAATTGATATTTACAAAATATAGTTTTGTTAAAAAGTAATTAAAAAAACTTATTATTTTCGTCATGGGTTCTGAATTTTCTTCGTTTCTGACGAATTTCTTATTCATTACGAATTTCATCCTCAGAGTTATTCATTTTGTCAGTGATTTCGTCAGTGATTTCCGCATTCAAAAGAAGACCTGGCGTTTATCTTCTTCAGGAATGATTAATCAGGAATCAGGAATTATTCAAGTCACTGACATTTTCAGAAAAATATCGATCACTGTTTGAACAATTTTCTGAAGCATGACAGTTCGTGTAAATATCAGTACACTTGAGGCCATGTTAACGGCAACCACATCTATTATAGCAGTCCTTTTCGCAACTGCGAGAAAAAAATTTAACAACTCATCTGGAATCAGCTGCTTGTCAGTAAACCGAGGCATAAGTAATAATAATATACAAAATAAATAAAAAAAAATAAAGCCTGAAAGCTGCTTCAACTGTTAGTGGCACTTTTTCTAATTTGAAAGAAGACTGCATGTAATGTTGTATAGGATTAAAAATAAATAGATTCTACGGGAATAAATACAAAAGAAAAGGTATACTTTACGTGACTTCCATTTTTTTTAATTTTTTCACGACTCGTCAAATTGGAATGTTTACCTACTAATTATAGGTAAAAATAAAAATAAAAATATCGAGTGTGAAAACGATGACAGCTGTATTGATTTATTCTTAATCCCTCCATGACCGCGGGCACGCCGGCGTTGCAGTTAACAATAGATTTCTTAGAAATTTAATTAATTTTTTAGAAATTATCTGGAAGTGCTATATATATAACACATCATACAATATAAAGGACTGCGTTCATATTTCAATACTTTCCCATTGTTTCATCAAACTCAAAACATTTTTGCGGAAATTAAAAATAAAGAAACAAAAAAAAATTTAAAGAAATGTTTATTTTTTTGCAAATACGAGTATGTCGAAAACTTCGAGGTAATTGTAAAAAGTGTCATTTATAAAAGTTGTAGATTTTTAATATACCTAAAACTTTTTCGACAGGACGTCACAGTAAGTAAGTCGAAAATTGAAAAAAATAATTTTCAACACTTATCATCCTCTTACCATTTTTCGGGGCTAGCTGGACATCGGGGACATTTTACGGATTTTTGTTCTATAAGGAAAATATAAATGTATATAAATACCTGCTGACATTTTAAAGATAAAACTTCACTTTTTATTAATATTTTTTTCTCTTAAAAATAAACACACAGCAGCATTTTAAAAATTACTTTCTAAATTAAAAAGAAATTATATAAAAAATATTGATATCTAGATTTAAATCAAAACCAATAAAGATTATATAAAAAAACTGTGTGTGTATGTGCAATTCACGCATAGTGAGTGACACTATTTTTATAATATTTTTACTAAGTTTAAAAAGTTATATTTCGTTTTATTTGACATAAATATACATTATGTTCACACAATACTAGCAGATCCCGCGGCTTCGCTCACGCTATAAAAACGAAAAATATCTAAAAAGGGAGTTTCGTACAAACTTTGATCCCTTATTTTATCCCTTTATGGGATGAATTTTCGAAAAATGCTAAAACACATATTTATTTAATTTTATTAAAGATCATTATTACCAGGTTTCAAGTAATTCTGATATTAAATATTTTTTTGGGTTGTATTATAACAGGTTTTCCCTTAGGATTAAGATAATCTCCCGCGATAAAAAGTAGCCTATGTCATTCTCCAGCCTTTCAATTATCTCTACACAAAAAATCACGCTAATCCGTCTCTCCGTTTCGACGTAAAAAAAAGACAAACAAATACACTTTCGCATTTATAATATTAGTATGGATAATATACAGAAAGATTATAATACTATATTTGTCAGACAATAATAACAGTTACCATAGCAATAAAGCAATCATCAAGGCAATGTATTGTATTTCATTCTCTCGTCGGTTCCAACAGTTTTATATCCCTCATTTCATTAACATTCATAAGTCATATCCTTTAAATTTACTATTCACAAAAAAATTAAAACCGTGAGTTCAAAAAATATAATTCCCGTGTATATATTTATAAAAAACAAAAAAGAGATATAATTTTTAAATAATCTGTAGAAACTGGCAATAATTTGTCCTCTGCTATTTAATCTGTATGGAAAATTACGAGTTGTCAACTACAACGAAGAATACTACAGATTATTAATGAATTTATAGCTCGATTTTACTTGCTCCGTAAACGGTGTTCTTCAAATTTTAGTTTACAATATTTTTTGTTAGTTTTCGTCATTCAATTTCTTAAATAGATATGGCTTTACACACGGCAAATGTGAAAATAGAAAATGTATGCCGTACTTGTTTATCCAAAGAGTTTAAAATGCTCTCGGTGTTTGAAGTGCGTTTAGGAATGGATACATTAGACAATATAATTGCCTCAATAACTGGTGTAAAGGTGAACAATAGTATTCATTTATTATAAATTTTAATGTAAGAATTTTTAGTTAAATTGCTAAGTGCTGTAGACATTTTAAGAAACTTGCAGCAAAATCGGCGAAAGAATTTTACTTGCATAGCGAAACAATTTTAACTTAATCACCATTTAATTCAATTAGCATCCCATTAAAAAAATAACTAAGAGTATAGTATGTTTACTTTTATTTTAATATATTTTTAAGCTTCACATGTTACTTTAGTTAAATGTATTTACCTATTTAATAACATTTTCTAGTCAAAATAAACTTTTACATATTATCAAATTGGTGTTTTCAATTCTTGCACTTTTACAATATTGCAACATATCTCAATTGTATTTTTACTTTTGTAGATAGAGCAAGGAGATGGGTTACCTTCTACAATATGCAATGATTGTAAAGAGAAAGTTGTTAGTGCATATGATTTTAAAACTCGTTCACAAGAAGCTGAAGTCACATTAAGAGGTCTACTAACTAGAGACCTTAGTAATGAAAATAATTTAATATATGAGGTATTTAACTTTAAAGTGTTTTTAATAAAAATAATATTATATTGCTTATATATAAAATGATAAATAATATGAATATATAAAAGTTACATAGAAACTAATAAATATTTATTGGTTTCTATGTGGCTTTTGTCACTTTTGATGAGATCTTATTGAAGTTTTTAAATAGGGATCTAACCACATGCCAGTGTGCAGGTGCACTGACCAAGTGGTTACATATAAGTTTAAACTTATATGTAACTACAGTGTTTTGTGCTTCAATTAGGCATTGGCTTAATTGAAGTACAAAGCATGTTGTATGTATGTATATTTCTTCTCAAAAATATGTTTTATTTTTTATATTTAACACAGACTGTGACCTGAAGTAAATTAACACATAGGCATCTGTTAGTAATATAAATTGCCAAAAGATGATGCTGTCCATTCTATCTCTACATTTATAAAACTAAATTCTGTCCACCACATATGTATGGAAGTCGAATTTGATATACTCAAATACTACCAAATCATACTTTTTTCACCAATACACTGACTACCACAGAGAGTATGATCAGGAAGGTTTGTGTAAATTGGCTTAAATATGCTGAAGATTGTTGACAATGTAGGAAAAGTTATGCCGATTGGGAGCTTTTATGATATGCACCACATAAGAGTTGTTAATTGTGATATTTAAAAATAAATGAATTTAATTAATTGTTCCAGCCTGATGCTGTTGCAGTTAAAACAGAACATTTTGTTAGAGACAATCATGATGTTTATATGGATTTGGACTTATCTTTAGCTCTGGGTAATGTTCAAGATACATATAGTGATGTAGGTGAGTAGGAAAGAAAATTATTATTGCAGTTTTTATCCTAATTATCTGAATTAAAATGATTCATATGTCCTTAGATAAGTCTTGATGATGTGAGTGTCATACTATATAGATATTATTAAAAATCACAATGACATATTTCAGACACCATTTTGAGTCTTAATTTTTTTCTTTAAAATCTGCATATAAAAATTAAGGTTTTTAAAAAACAATCACGAATATATATGTATACATTTATATTTATATGTAACATATATGTTTAGAAGTCTTTTGTTTATGAAATTGTTAAATAAATCTAATTAGCCAAAACTAAAAAAAAATATAAATAAAAAATTACAATATAAAAATGAAAAACTATTTTATTTTTATAATGTAATTTTTAGTTTTTTTAGAACCTAGTGATGATAAAATAAATGTCTAAGTCAATTATTATTATACTTTTATACCATTTGCTGTAAAAACTCTTGGCCCATGGATAAAAAATTTAAAGTGCTAAAAACTTCTTAAAAGACACAATTTCTTATCTTCATTTGTTTTTCGTCCAAAGAATCGGCATTGCCATCCACTGTGTAGTTATAGTATATAATATATAACTAAATGTGAAATTTGTGACGATGATAGTAAACACTAAACAAATTTATATGCACTATTGTAATAAAAATAGCTGCTTAGGTATGTATACACATTTTAAACTTGGATAAGACTGTATTATTACATATTATGTATTAATATTGGGCCCGTTATTTATATATTTTGGTATTTTTATTTTAGATGCTGTGAAATGTGAAGAAGCAGGAACACAGTGTAAAGAGTCTTATGTTGATTCTCAGCAATCTGAAAATGCAAATGGTAAAAATGAAAGCATAAAACAATCATCTAAAGGTAATTATAGATATTGAGAAAAAATATATATTCGTTTGCAACATATTCATCTTGAAATATTAATCTCATACTATCATAAAGACTTTTTGAACACAATAGAAGGCATTGAGCCCTAAAGGAAGAAAGGGGCACCTTAGTTCAAAGTAATTAACAATAAAAATGACCTTCAAAAGAATGGAAAATAACCGAAAATAGTACACTCTTTATGACCATTAAAAAGACATAAATTGGTGTTCATACATCTAACATCTTATCTATATTTTATCGTAGGGGGAAAAGGTCAAAAATTTGGTTGCTTTGTTGGTTATTACAATTTAAAAGAATCTTGAAATTTAAATTACATGTATGCAAAGTCTAGTAATACTAATAAAAGAGTTTATGAATACTAAGTTTGTCTAGGTATAATACAAATGTTTCATGTAATTACCAATCATACTGCTTGCCTGTGTATTATCTATGTATTGTGTATTGTGTTGTCTTCATACATGTAAGACTAAACTTACCTAAACTTCAATAAGTCATTCCATTAATATTATAAATGCAAAAGTTTCTATGGATGTTTGTTATTCAATCACGCCAGAAGGGTTTGGATGAAATTGGGCATAGAGATAGATTATAGTCTGGGATAGATTATAGTCTGGAATAGAAAATAGGTTACTTTTTAACTCGGAAAAACCTACAGTTCCCATGGGATAGATTTGATTTGATTTGTGTTAGTGAAGACACTACGAACAAACTGAGTGAGTTGCTCGTATATAATATTTACTTACAGCCGAAAATAATGTATCAGACAGTACATATTGCCCAGTTTGTGGATCAAGTTTTGCTGATGCTGAAGGCCTTACAAAACATGCTTGGGAGCGGCATGCAGATCTCATGGGACCCAAGAAGAGGGGTCGACCGAAAAAATTACTTACTAGTGTATGTATGTTTTACTAGTGTACATTTTTTTAATATTTGTGTCATCTGCAATAGCCTTAACTAAATAAAATATTTGGCACGAGTCGATTATCATCAACTTCACACCAGCATGACTTAACACTTTGAGTACTCACTAAGTTCTAAATTCTGGAAATTGTTGATACAAAGAAAGCTCATTGTTTGCATTCCGTACACATGGTATGAAATAATTTTCTATTTCTTATGAAAAAGTTGCTTTCATGAAACTGTGATATACATAAGAGTATGTAGAATATTTGAAGATGTTTATCAATTATATTAATTGAATGTGTCCAGCGCAATAAACAAAGAAAAAATGTCATAAAAGGCACTGAATCTACATCTGTGTAGATATAAGTATTTTTATTTTAATACCATTTTATCTTTCCCTACATTAGAAGAAGCCAAAATAGTGTATAAGTTGTTAAGATCCGTTTTATGTAATTATGTACGTTAAGGTGTTATATGGCTAACGTATATTTTAAATAAAACCCCTAAAAATAAATTGAAATTATATTCTAGTGGTTTAAAAGATATAACTCTAGAAATGTAGCTAAATCTGTCGTCAATACTTTGACGTTACACGCAAATGTGAATTTGTCTAATTATAAATTGTTAATCATAAATTACTTAAACTTTTTTTGGATACATTGATTTGACCTTTTTTTTTTGCGATGATCGAAAGTTAGATTTTAATATCTTCTCAAACATTTATATTCATCTGTTTTAACAGAATAGCAATGATTTTTATTTTGTGTAGACGTTGAATGAGGGTTGTGTTTTGTGATGTTTGATTGATGTAGTGAGAAGCGAAGTTGTATTAGAGTAATGTGATTGCTTGAGTGCATGCCTAGTTACAATAAAAGATAAAGCGCTTTTTGCTTAAAATGCAATAGGGTCGAAAATTGGAAAATTTGGCGTCGACAATATGTATTGCAGCTTTTAAGTTTTATATTGTGTAATTTTAAGTTTCTTTTTATTTCAGACGATTCTAAACAAATTATCTGAAAATGGCTACAATTTGAAATATTTGCCAGACTTGAAACACAAATGTATGTTTTGCAAGGAAAATTTGAAAACCAAAGATGATTTGACATTACATATGTTAGAACATAAAGGTTAGTTCATGAAGTTATAATAGACTTTATGTTGTTTTTAAAGTGTGCGTGTTAAACTAAAATTGACGTTTTTCAGATGTGAAATTGCTCAGTTGCGTAATTTGTAAGAAGATGTATCTCAATAAAAATGACTTGGAACATCATCACTGTGTACAAACTAGAAGTGATTTGGATCACAACAAGCAGGTTAGTTCCATTTTCTTCACATTTTTTTTTAGTTTTCATTTTCTTATTATGCAATAAGCAAGGAAAATAACAAATTATTTTTGTATTTACTATATTAGCATTCGGTCTTATCACGAACAAAGAAAAAGTACCTAAAAATGTATATTATTGTTTAAAAAAAAATCTAAATGAACAGAAAAGGCATCAAATGCATTAGATGAGGCATTTGTACTAGTATTATGTGACCTGTGATATTAGTAAATTTTACATCATTATTATATTATTAAAATCTTAGCAATAGTGTCCTTTCTAGGCCTGAACTTATTTAAATATTAAAACATGTTTTGATATTTATACATACAATAAAATTCTAACTGGGTTTAATCTGTACATTATATATTTTTGGGAAAATCTTATTGAAATAGTAATTTTTATCAAGACAGAGGCTGAATCTATATATTTTACAATTTTTGTCTATCTGTCTGTCTGTGACCGCATCACGAGAAAACCACTCGATCGATTTTGATGAAATTTGGTATGATGATAGCTGGTTATTCGGGTCAACATATAGGATACTTTTGACTGCAGGAATATATCTCATCTCTGAGAAATCTATACTAAACGTTAAAACGTACGTAGGGACGAACTCGAGCAGAGCGAGGGTGAATTGCTAGTATATAATAATTTATTGATATGTCAATTTTTGTCATCAGGGGGAGCCACCAGATGCCCAAGAAAATGGCACAGACATCAATCTTTATAAGGAAACATTACTTCAGGATGTATTAATAGCTAATGGTGATATGGTAATATAGTTTTTAAATATATTTTTCTCTCCTATTCAAATGAATTTTAACTTTTAAAATTATATGAATATTAAAACAGTAAATTAACAGAAGTTTTTTGTGTTAAGAAAAAATATTTTTAAATATTTTTTAGATTTAGCTTTTAATATTAGTTAGGCTCTCACTAGTCGTTCAGTTTTCGTTACGAGAACACCGTTATTTTAACACCGAGGTTTATGTTAGTGATACAAAAAACGAATTTGAATTGCTTAACTCTGTTTCAAAAGCGAACCTACTACTATTGATTTTTTTTCTAAGCTTTATTTTCCGCTTATCAATTCTTACTAATTATACATCCAATTATAATTATTTCCTTTCCATTTCTTTGTTATGTGGCCCGCATATGGGTAAAAGCCCTCTCCATTCTTTATTGTACTCATATTATAATTTATACCTTACTAATTAGTGGTCGTAATTAATTAAATAAACTTGAAATATTTACTGAGTATAATTTTATTTAAAGACTAAAGCAATACCGTCCACAGGACTCTGGGAATATAGAGCCATGCAGTGAATGTGGTGAAGTATTCATGTGTAGTACAGACTTGAGTAAACATCGGGATCAAGATCATCCAGAACTTTCTTCACGATGTCACCTATGTGATAAGGTACGCGTAAAATGTGATATATTTATATTTAAACTAACATTCATTGATTACTGTGAGAAGAAATTGTTCAACTTTGTTGGGCATGAGAATGGACTTGGAACATTTAAAAAAAAAGCAGTCATGAGGACTGCCGACAGAAGTGCAAACTTAAAATGGACTAAGATCCCGCTGCAAGATTGCTACGTATAAAGCGTATTTATTCGAAATCATTTTTTTATATACAATAATAAAAGGGACAATATGTTTTGACCGGGGTGCCTATTCAAATGTTCCCGCTAGTATGTTTAATTAACTAAAAAATAGTTGACTTTTTGGAATAAAAACGATGCATTTGTTATTACAATGAATTATACTCCACTTCACAGAACTATACGTAGAGATCTTGAAAAATTATAGCTACCGTTGCGCATTTGGCCGCAACCTCTTCGCAGCCACGTGTAAGCGGGTTAGGGGTGTTGCAGTGAGTGCGCAAGCGATCCTGCACGCCCCATTGCACTGCGGCGAAGGGTTCCGCTGTGGGTTTTAGTGAGTAGGAGTCTCACAGTACCCTGCCCATGACGGCGGGCAGGGTCCCCATGATGGGTTTCCCCAGCGACAAAAAAATAAAATAAAAAAAAAGGTGTAAGCGGGTCATATTTTGGGACGTTTATACGTTCATCGCGTATGTTCATAATTTATATATCAAATTAAAGCTATTTTTATTCTGTACATGATAAAATATTAGTTTTAGTTTAGTTAGCGCGTTAGTTAACTGTTTGTTGCCATGGTAACCGTTGTTATTGTCTGACAAATGATATATAATATTATATTATTTCCTTCTTTTCTTTCCATTGCGGCCACTTGTACATAGGTGAGAGGTATTTTATCATGTACAGAAAATAATTAGCTTTAATTTCATATATAAATGATGAATATACGCCATGAACGTATAAATGTAACAAAAACTTATTACATTGAACATTTGTAACTTTACCTACTAACATATTATATTAATAACTATTAGACTGATAGCGTTATTATTTTTATTTTTAACTTTAATTTTAAGGTTTTCGCAACAGTGAAAAGCGCAGCGCGTCACCGTGCGGTATGTTCTCGAGTTGAGCGTTCGTTCGCCTGCACTTCGTGTGGACTTCGCTTCGCTCACGAAGTGTCTCTCAATAAACACATACTGAGAGCGCACGCGGGACAGAGCGTGTCTGTCCGCTTCATGGACAGGGACAGGACACCGCCTCAACATAGATGTGACACGTGTAACCGAAGATTTTACAGGTGAATATCACTACAGTATAAATATCCATAAAATGGTCCATCGCCAAATGATTTTAAAGGAAATGTTGTCAAATGCAAGTATAAAATATGTATGTGTGGAATGAAAGCGCACGCAGGGCAGAGCGTGTCTGATTCATATAAGACACAGGCACTGCTTCAACATATGTAGACGTGACACGTGTAAACGATGCTTTTACAGGTGAGTACAATAAAGAAATCTGTAAAGTAGGCCATCATCCTTTGTTGTCAAAGACATGTATAAAATATGTATGTGTGGAATTAACAGGACAGGGCGTGTCTACTGTCTATTTCTGTTTCTATTATTTCATGGACAAAGAATCGCCTCAATATAGAAAATGATAGAACCGACTCTTTTATATGTGACTAGCATTGCCCGCGGCTACGCCCGCGTTCAGATGACCAATAACCAAATTCTTAGGTTTTACAGATTAGTATAATACTATATGTTGACCCGGATAACCAGCTTTCATCATACCAAATTTATCAAAATCCCTCCAGTGGTTTTTCTTTGATGCGGTAATGGATAGACAGACAGTAATGTACAGATTCCGCTTAGTTACAATTTTATTATGTGTATAGTTTACGCGCCATGTAAGTTGAATTAAGTTGGCGCTGGTCCAAATGAAATGTCATAATATATTTTTTTAGACATAAAATGTCTGGTTTTGGTTGGTTTTTTATAAAAGTGTGTGATTGGTTTTTTATAAAAGTGTGATATGCTTTATATATAAAAAAAGTGCGTGGAAGTACAAAAGTTTAAATTATTAATAATTAAAATCTAATATTATTAATAATAATCGTGGTTAATTTAAAATAAAAAATATTATATTTTGAGTATTTGTCCAATATTATTTTTATTTGATACAGAAAGGACTTGCTGGCGAGACATGCGAAAATACACAAGCAAATAGAAAAATGTTTCGAATGTGATGTTTGCAACAAAAAGTTTCATAGAAGGGATAACCTCAAGTAAGTAATTTGAAATGAATGCTCTTAACATTATTTTTGCTAACGTTTTTTTATTGATCACTTATTTTAAAACATGTTCTATTGTATATCATTTATGGTTTATACTCTCTTTGCTCGGGTGCGTCTTTAGATGCCTAAAAGTAGCCTGTGTTACGCCAGGTCATTTATATGTATTACTAAATTTTATTCAAATTCCTCCAGCTGTTTTAGCGTGAAGATTTACAAAGCGTACACACACATACACACGCACACACACAAACACACATAAGTACAAAGAAACTTTCGCTTGTATAATAGATCGCTTATATTATTATAATATATTGAAGTTGAGTCTTTCTATCTCACAAGTATAAATACTATATAATCTTATATAATACTAGTGACTTACCCTTGCTACGCTTCAGGTTCGTCCCTAGACAAACAAATCTATCCCACGGGAGCCGTACATTTTTACGGTATAAAAAGTAGCCAATGTGCTATTTCAAACTATCTATCTCTGTGCCAAATACAATCCAGATCCGTTCAGCTGTTCTCGCGTGAAAGAGTTACAATAATCCATCCATCCTCATAAATTTCTTCTCGATTCGTACTACCCGATATGTGTTCACCTTGTTATTGGCGTTCCTTAGCGTCTGGCAATCCAGCCAGGCATGAAGTCAAGAGATGGTTTATCTCGGGAGGTGGTATAACATATTGTAGGTTGCTCTTACATAATAAAACTTTTTGTTGAAAAAACATTCAAGGGTGCGTGTATGAATGTTTACACGCGTAAGTACTACTTCTGTAGGTTATCGGTACTCTTTATGAAATTCAATTTATGTTTTAAATAATTAGGGTAGGTGAAATACTAAAAAAACGTGTGTGTGTGTGTACTTATGTACGCACGTTAGAAGTTATAATTCTTTGGCGTAATAGAACAAAAATAGCTAAAGATTTCATCCCTAAATTTTAATAAACATAATGAAATAACGCATATTAGGCTTATTACAATCATATATTTATAGAATATAATTTAAGGAAAGTATATAATATTATATATCATTTACCAGACAATAACAACGGTTACCATGACAACAAACGTTCGCCTCGCCCAATCACACTTTTCGTAACGCTCTAGTCACGTATTCACCAGCTTACTACCCAAGTCAAGCGTGCGTAAAGAAATTACCATGACTACACTTGTCTATCAGTTTAAACATTTCTAAAACAAGATTACATAATTCTGATTTTATTCGGTTTAGTTTGAATATTTATACTTTACTAGCAGAACCGGCGGCTTTGTCTGAGTTCAAGCTACAAAAAAAAAATACATATTCGCAGGTCACACATGAAAGTCCACAACAGTCCGGGCGAGAGCGGTGGCAATGCAAGCAAGAACACCTGTTTGTGTCTGTACTGCGGTCGAAGCTTCTCGAACTCTTCCAACTTAATAGTTCACATGCGACGTCACACCGGCGAGAAACCTTACAAATGCGACTTTTGTGGGAAAGGTATGCTCTTATTTTTGTCTTACAAAATGGAAATGCTTATGGGAAAATGACGTTCTAATGTGTAAATATCTCGTGTCGTGGTGTTTGTGGTCGCACTTCTTCGAAACGGCACGACTAATTTTAATGAATTTTGAGGATAGGTCGTAAAGTATTTTTCCCCCTCGTACTACTCTTAAGTACTCTACTAAGGGGGTGAAAATGGGGATGAAAGTTGGTATGGGGAAGCAAGCTAGGAAAGAACCCGAGCGAAGCAAGGGTGAGTCGCCAGTATTATATAAATACATAGGGACGAACCCTCGCTTCGCTTATAAGTTCGCTTTAAAGTTGCTTTGATGTTTCTTTTTCATTTACTTTTTATCTGTGCTCAACTGAAGAAAGAAGCCATTAACAAGAAAATTTAATTGAAGATAATAATTAATGTTTCTTTGTCAGGTTTTCCTCGATCATCAGATTTGCAGTGCCATCGACGCTCGCACACGGGAGAAAAGCCTTGTATATGTGGAGTATGTGGCAAAGGTAATAAATACTTTTAGATAGTCTTGTTAATAAAACGTTTTCTTGCATCCATGTCATACGACTAATTGACAGATATTGCGAAACATAATGTCATGTCTTTCTACGTTTGTCTCTGGAATTAAAAAAAAACCTGTTTCGACTTAACGTATAACGGAAAATTGTAAGTATATTATGTCAGAGAAGATAACATTTCGATTTGGGTCTCTCTCGCCTTTATCGTGCTGCGTCATAATTTCTGGAACTCTCCTAACAAATATAATGTGACCAAAGAAAGCGGAATATGACAATATTTTAAATTAAAACATTTATTACTACAGTAGTTTATATAAATAGCTCGTTCTTATGATTAAGTTTAGTAGATTAAATTAATCCTTAGCTGAACTGATTTCGAACATAGCAGCAAATCTCATTGAGGCTAGCCCTATGCCCTTTTTTTTTTTTTAACGTTGGGAAATGCATTTACGCACGAGGTGTGGGACTCACCGGCAAAGCCAGTACTATCCACTAAAACCCAACAAAGCCTTCCCCCGTCTTAATGGGGCGTCGCAGGATCGCTTACGCATTCAACTACGACGCCCAGACGGCAGGTCTGCCGAAGCAGACCACAACAACCACGGGGTTGCTCCAAGGTCCACTCTGCTATCAGAGAAGAACCAGGAGCAACCCGCATGGTACACCGCCCTCCGAAGAGGGCCACCTCCCACCGAAGTGGGCCACCTCCCTGTGCGTTTCTTGGCTTCGCGCCCGGTTGGGTTGCCGGGCACTACTGAGCCCCCCCCCCCACCACGACAAGGTGAACGCACGTTGGGTGGGAGCCCTATGCCCTGGATATATAGACATAAGTGCAATCTTAATTACTTTCACCCTCACAGTCCAGTGGGTTGTTTTGAGTGATCGGGGATCAGAAACACTGATGTCGAAAAAAAGTTTTTTTTTAGCTTGAGCCGGGACTGGTAACTAAGGACCATAGTATACCTTGCATAGGTATTATGTTGTGATTAGTTGCAGATAAGACGTTTAGGCTGCGATTACAATGCAAGTTATAATTAGTCCGTCGATGCATTCCGTACCGTTTAGACGTCTCTCGTGTAGTTACCTGATTTATTATCAATGTAAGAGATGACAGTGATATGTTGGAGAGCGAAAATGAATAAATAATTTATACAAATATTTACAAAAAACAGTTAATTTTATTTTAATGTTGATTCTATTTGTTTGTTGATTTTATTTTATTCCTCACTAAAGCATTAGCAATATCAACGAACCCTATGATTTCAAACCACTTGCAAGTGTTAGTGGGCGGAGCTAGACAGTTTTCTGTCCTTATCAGTTTGTGTGCTATGTGGGACAGAGAAAGCGCTTTTCATGGTTCACTCCGTGAACAGAGTATAGCCACATACTAAACGAATTTATTTGCCGAATAAATATCATAAATGGTTTTGTATATTATATAGCGTTTTCACGAAGTAACAAACTATCACGCCACATGCGTGTTCACACTGGCGTGAAACCGTACAAGTGTCCGTACTGCGAGAAGGCTTTCTCCCAAAGCAACGACCTAACCCTTCACGTGAGGCGGCACACCGGTGACAAGCCGTACGTGTGCGAGCTGTGTGGTGACCGCTTTATACAGGTAACATGTTACATTATTTATGTACATATGTATACCAGTGGCGAAGGGGCCATACAAGACGTCTTACCTTAAAATGTATTTTGCTATAATTTTACATACATTTAATTTTTTACATGTATAAATGTTCTTTTGGATATATATATATATATATATATATATATATATATATATATATACTATATATAATAGCTTTATTTCTTTTTGCATTATTACGTATATAAAAATTGTATACCAATGTTTTTTTGTGTATTTTTTTGGAACGGCTTATCTCTGCTAAAATTTCACCCTTCGCTACTGATGTATACTGTAAATTTTAAAATGAATTGTATTTATTCAGCCCTTTCGGGCTTCATTCAGGCTTCTCCACAATTTTATGTCCCACTGCTGGGTACGGACTTCCCCTCAATATCAGGGGATCCATAGTCCACCACGCTGGCCAAGGGCGGGTTGGCGGACTTCACATGTCTTTCATAACTTGCTAGGTTATCTCAGACATGAAGGTTTTCTACCGATGTTTCTTACCATAAAACAAGTGGTGATCATGTTGAAAGCAAACTTAAAAATATCCGATGTGCGAGACCCCAAGGTTTGAACCCGATTCACTTAATTTTCCAAGTGAGCGTGATTTAGACAGCGTGACAAGATTAGTAAATTATACTTAGTTTTTTTTAAGAATTCTTTTATTATGTTTATTTAATCTATAACCGCGAAAAGGGAAATGAATTAACCGGTAAATAATATTATCTGAACTGTTTAGTCAATAGTCTTACAGATATAAAATGTGTGATAATGATGTGTCCAGGGCACAGCTCTGCACAACCACAGACGCGCGCACGGCCACTACCCGACGGCGCCGCTCGTGTACACCGTGCAGACCCTCGCGCAGACGAACTGACAGTACAACCGGGTTTATCTCGTGCTGGCCATCCCATCGATAATATAAACTTTATTGCAGATAATAACAACTATTTTTTTAGCGGAACCCTAATTCTTTTTCTAAAATAAAAGTAGCCTATGCTACTCCCTATAACATCAGCTATCTTCCAGTGAAAGTCCCGTCAAAATCAATCCAGCCGTTTCAGAGATTATCCGGAACAAACAGACAGACAGACAAATATTTAAATAATTGTGTTTTTCTTATAAGTACCGTATATAATTTCATTACAAATAGACACAAATTTTATTTATATGTATAGAAGAGGAAATTGAAGGTAAAGGTGGACTTATCTCTTCTATAGAGATCTCTTCCAGTCAACTTAAGGGGGCGTGAAAGATTGTCATTTAGCGGAGCATAAATGTGCAATGTGATAAGGAATTATTAAAAAAAAGTAATTATGGTATATATAAAATAACATACTATAAAACACAGAGAGTTACTACTTGACAGAAAGTGCATTGAGTGCTTCTTTGTCAACTGTCAGCTGAAAATTAAAAAAAAACCGACTTCCAGGCACTGAAATGAAAAAAATAACTAAACAGGGGTTTTCATTTAGAATAGATACCTAATCAGATATTTTAGAAGTCGGTGCCAGCCGATGTAAAGCAAATCTAATATATTTCAATACGTAAAATACATATTTAGCTATTAGATATTCATATCTTAAAATATTGTCAGCTGGCATCCTGCATTTAAATAAGCAGTTTTTAACCGTGCTAAATATAAAGTAACTGCCCCATCTGTAAATCTGTGCTATAAACCCCATCAGTATAGTAAAATCAATTTTATTTACGAGCGCATTATGTCGCTTTATCACTAAGAGTATTTTTTTAAACCATAAGATACATTTTTGAGATTTATTTTTCACTAGCGACTCACCCTCGCTTCGCTCGAGTTCGTCACTCCCTACTTGCGTTTTAAAGTTTAGTATCGATATCTCAGAGATGAGATATTTTCTCGCTGTAAAAAGTATCCTATATGTGGACCCGGATAACCAGCTATCATCATACCAAATTTAATCAAAATCCCGCTAGTGGTTTTTCCGTGATGCGGTAACAGACAGACAGACAAAAATTCTAATAACTATAGATTCGGCCACTGTATCGGTAATAATGTCTATTTCAATAAGATTTTCCAAAAAAATATTTAATGTACAGATTCAACTTAGTTACAAGTTTATTATATGTATAGATTGTGTCTGAAAGTTCCACAAACTTCAACACCAAATTGATACATATAACACTATCTATAGACATTTATTTGAACTAATTTTCTTTGCTTCTGATAAGACCCTCCTACGTGAATAATTTTATGTTACGTTACACATCATACTTTTATGGCTCATAATAACAAAATGACTAATCCACGTAGTTTAAATTGACATTTCTAGTACAAAATATGACAATGATGATGAATAATGAAATCTCATTGATGGAGAGGATAAATATTATAATGGCAGCTTATTTTAAATGTCTTACATTTCAAATAAGCTGCCATTATAATATGTATCCTCTGCGTTCTACGTGACATTGGCGAAGTAAACTGTGCTCAACTGGCACGCTTTGAAGCCGTAAACAAAAAAAATTGAATTGAATTATAATATTATTTTATGGACCAATCCTCCCTCATGTCTTTTCTATTCTATGTGGCAATGGCGAAGTAATCTATGCTCAACTAGCAAGCTTTGATGCCATTAACAAGAAAATTGAACTGAATTGTATAAACTGCAGTTGATATTACGGGCCTAAAAAAATTAAGGAAGTAACGCTTAAAACATATAACAATTACTTTATCGTCTGTGCATACTTTGATTTAGTTTTGTAAACTTATTCTGTATTCAGCCCTGTTTAACGTCCCACTGCTGGGGGTGGACGTCTCTTCAATTCGAGGGGGATCAGGCCATAGTCCACCACGCTGGACAAGTGCGGGTTGGCGGACTGAGCATGTCTTTCGAAAACTTGCTTGCTCTCAGACATGCTTGACATGTTTTCTCACAATGTTTTCCTTCACCGTAAAACAACTGGTATTCATGTTGGAAAATGATTCGCACATGATATCAGAGGTGCATTACCCGGGATTTGAGCCCGCTTCACTCGGTTTCCCAAGCGAGCATGTTACCACTGGGCTACCACTGCCTTAAACTAAGTGTACAGATTAATAATTAGTTTCTGTATCGTAAGTTAGTTTGTAACTTGTCAGTAGTGAGTGCTCGTCACCTAAAATACGGGCTCTGGCTTAGTTTAGGAGATATTAGATCAACTTATTTTTTGACTCTTTTTGTACAACTTGCTTTACTTACTTTAACCCCTTATATTTTCACTTTAATACATGTACAATAAATAAATTATTATTATTATTATAATGCTGACTTTGTTTAAAGTCGTTACCCACCATGAATAAAGATGGTTGAGCAAAGTTTGATTGTAAAATATACTTGTAAATTACCGGCTATACCCGTTCATTGACAAGCTTGCTGTTACTTGTGTAGCCACGTTAAAATGATACTTATATCATGCCTTTAAATATTACCAATTTAAAATATACCAAAATTACCATTTTAAATTACAAAGACACTATCTGTAAGTTACGTTTTAGATTTAATATCTTTAAAAATTTACACAGTTGAACAATGATAATATGAAGTATTGTTCAAGATTAAGTTTGTGTATTGCCATATTACTATTTGCATTGATTTCAAATCTCATTCTGGTCAAAGAAAGCCAGATGTTTACAAAAAAGGTGATTTTCATGACTCCACCGTTGACTTCTGATACCTTGTTAGTTGTTATGCAGACATGAGATTATATGGGACTTTTTAGATGACATACAACATGCCAAAACAATCTATATGTAACATGCAAGTTTAGAGCTTATAACCTTCTGTACTGAGGTTAAATTCCTATACGACTAGACTTAAACGTGATTTTGATAAGAAGGTATGGATATGATATTTGTAAATAAAATTATTAAAATTATGTTTATTATAAGAGGAAGTATGAACACTGACAATTTGATATTGATACGTCATTAGAAGTATAGTATTGTATATATCATTATATAACAATGAATGTAATGCAATAGATTTCCCGTTTCATTAATTTATTAAGAATTTAATAAGTGAAAGCTAAAAGAAAGAGATAAATAAAAATTTATCTACACTATCTCTTAGTCTGTAAGAAACTACGTTTCAAGACAAATGATATATAATATATATATATATATACGTAAATTGATTTGAGTAAATTAATTTTTTCTACTATTTTATTAAAACGATATCTATTTAATTCCTGTACAATCACAGATGTAAAGTAATTGTCTAAGAACTTAAGCATATCTTTAAATAATCTATTTGTACATTTAGACAATTACAAGATCTGTGATAATTTAAAATACGTATGTGTGTGTGTGTGTTTATTTGAAATATATATGAATTGTTAGTAATATGTGTAAGTAATATACCTATTTTGAAATGAATTTTAGTTTTATTACAAGTCCCTCTTCACAGTGTTCTGCTTGCGTGTTCTTTCAATATTCTGATCCTCCTTTATAGGGTAAAAAAGTAAGTTCCGATTTTAACTGGCATAAACAACAGTCAAACGTTTTTTTTTTATATTTTGACTAATAGAATTTGATCTCAATATGGGATTGTTACTTTGAATTAATATTATGGTTCTTGTTGTTCAAAACACACAAATATTATGTTTAGTTTCTTCGAAAAGCAATTGTTTTCCAAAAAGAATGGTTGGCAAAAATATCATATTTCAGTAATATAACTACGTAGGTAGGTGTCGAAAAAGTCCATTAAAATGTGTTCAGTTATTATTCAACATCAAATACTTTTGTAGGTACTGTGCCAAAATGGCCCACCTCTATGCCTCGGAACAAAGGACATAACATAAATACCCTTGTTATTAATTGTCAATTTATTCGTCGTGGTAAATACATTATTACTAACACGTCCAGGTAAATTTCTAAGAAATTAATTAAAATTCAAAGAAATCTATTTTTAACTGTAACGTCGGCGTGTCCGCGGTCGTGGATGGATTAAAAAAAACTGCCATAATGAATATTTTCATGTTTTTAGAGGGCTTATCAGTATTTGCAGTGTAAGTAAATGTTCAAAATCAAAGAAAATATTAGTATCTTCGATTTATTTTTTCCGATAAATATTAAAAATATTAGTTGATAATAAATTGGCACTTTCGACCTGAACACTGAAATAAAATAATTTTTATTTTAACACCTGTTAACATCGAAAAAAATGTCCTAAGAAGTTATTGCAAAATATAATATAGTGACTAATATTATTCGGTTAAAATATAAAAATTGAAGTATTTAAATCTTGTCTTCTGTAAGTATAATATTTACCAGTGCATGCATATTATGTATTAGCAGAACCCGCGGCTTCGTTCGTACTAAAACTAAAAAGGTAGGTTTCATACAAAATTTCATCCCCTATTTTATATGAAAAATGCTAAAACACTTATTTATTTAATTGTATTGAAGAGCATTTATACCAAGTTTCATATAATTTTATTTATAAATATTTTTTTGGTTGTGTTATAACGTGTATACGCGCGGGAATGAGATAATCTCCCGCCGTAAAAAGTTCTCCAGCCCCACAACTATCTCCACACAAAAAATCACGCCAATCCGTCACTCTGTTTAAATGTGAAATAAGGACAAACGAACAAACACGTTCACATTTATAACATTAGTATATACATTATATAATAATACGTTATAGCAGTAGGATATACATTTTAAATCATTATCCAAGTACTATGTAAATTATGGTTATCCTCAATTTTTTATATTTCTTTTATTGGAATTTATGTTTTAGCTTTAACAATTTAAATATATTTAAAACTAGCATTGCCCGCGACTCCGCCCGCGTTCAGATTTCCAAAAACCAAATTCTTTGGTTTTACATATTAGTGTACTCTTACATTGCAGTTTTTGTATTTTTTCTCAAAAATGAGATATTTTCCTGCGGTAAAATGTATCCTATATGTTGACCCGGATAACCAGCCACTATACCAAATTGAATCAAAATCCCGCCAGTGGTTTTTCTGTGATGCGGTAACAGACAGACAGACAGACAGACAGATAGACAGACAAAAATCTTAAAAACTATATATTCGGTCTCTGTATCGATAATAATGTTTATTTCAATAAGTTTTTCCAAAAAATATTTAATGTACAGATTCGGCTTAGTTACAATTTTATTATATGTATAGACTTACTGCTGAGTTGCACGTCTTTCCAATACACTAAAAATAAAAGAGGATGTTGACTAATACAATTTGTAACATTAATAATTGCAAGTGTAGGTACTAAATCTGCGATAATAAATGATTATGTCCTCCCGACCGACCACTTTTAACGTCATCATACCAGCCATGAGTTGAGTAGCTCTTATCGTTATAGGTAAATAAAATATTAAGTTATTTTTTTACTTACACGAGCTATACATCTTTTAGCATGGCACTAGATATGTAAAAGAGAAACGTTAGATATTGTAAATAGATGAAAAAAGTTAAAATTAATGAAGGAAAAATGAAAAGTACCTCCGACAGACAGTCTGTTCCGTGACACTATATAACAAAGAAATTAGTTTTAATCTTACGAGATGATTAATAAATATGTACTTAAATGTAATAATTTTATAGTGCTTTAATCTACTTAACTGATAGGAACTAGGATGCTTATTTAGTGCTTACGTTGCAATTCCACCATCTTCATTCACCTCTTCGATAATGATAAGTGGAACTTAAGGTATTTTAATTATATGTTTGCTAATAGCTGTAATAATTTTTTTTAATCCCTCCACGACCGAGGACACGCCGGCGTTACAGTTAACAATAGTTTTGTTAGAAATTTAATTAATTTCTTAGAAATTTACCTGGAGGTGAGGTACAAAAATGTTACTCAATATTTTTTTTAATTGACCGTTAAACCTCAGTCGACTTACTTTGAAGGTTTGCTAGGTATTAGTATATGAATTAAAATGACGAAGTCTAATAAAAATTGCATCGTACCTCGGATATACAGCTAACGCCCGTACACTGTATCATTAAATAGCCAATATTACTTACATATTAAAAGTCAAGGACAAACTAGTAATTATCATTCATATCGATTTTCTTAACCTATCTCACTGTAATTATAGCTCTTCAGAAGTTATCTTCTAAGACTATCTACTTTATTGTATTGCTTACCCACATGGGCAATAAAGTATTACAATTTACTGATAAATTGTCGTCTATCATAGAACTATTGTATACATATTATATGACCCATCACTAATCATCATTAGACACAAGAATAACAAGATTATTATTAGGAAAGATACATACTTACGTTAGATCTGCATTTATGTCCATTGCACTAGTTAAAAATATATTTTTAACTATAATTTTCCATTAATATAAAACTATTTAGTTAACAAAAACAATCTGAACAATTTTACTCACAATAGCATACGATGAAAGACCGTCGGCCTTAGTATAGAATAAATGAATTGCTATTAATTGTGTCTTGTAATAATGCCAGTTAAATTACTAGTATTTTTTGTTGTAAACTTAAAAAAATACTTACTAATGTTAGACATGATGCTGCATTACACTGTGAATAAGAATTATTCGAAGTTGGAAATGAAAATTGATTAGTGCAACTAAATAACATCTGCGATCAAGACTTTATGAAAGGGGCTTAATTTTTGATTCAACATTAGTTAGAACCAAGTAAGAAAATTCTTCGTTGAGGGGTTGAGGGAGAAGCCCACGAATTCTTTCCAGTCCACAATTCCACATCATTTATTAATCTCAGGCATAATAAAAAAAAACATCAAACAATTTTACCTTTTTATTTTTATTTTACCTTTGCAGTACAAACTCGTCCAAAGCACTAAAACATTATTATAATATGTATTTATAAAACGCTTTTTGGAAAATGGCGGCATCGGACCCATGGTTACACTGTTTTGTTACACTTATGTATCTACTGAGCATGTCTATGACCAATGGTTATACTAACGTAACAACTCAGCATACTTATGACCGGTAGTCACATTATTACATAGTATATGTTTGAAGCAAACAGACGGTCATATACGGTTAGGTTAGGTAAGTTTTATTTTTTAATTATGTGACAGACCCGACTTGGATAACGAAGGTTGAGAAGGCTAAGGCAGGAGCTCTGTCTTACTCGGAAGAACCCTTTCTTTCTATCTAGGTTGGTTAGGTTAGGTTAGAACAGTGACCACAACGCACCCCCCAACGTGCGTTCACCTTGTCATGGTGGGGGGGCTCAGTAGTGCCCGGTAACCCAACCGTGAAACGCGTGAAGCCAAGAAACGCACAGGGAGGTGGCCCACTTCGGTAGGCGGTGGGAGGTGGCCCTATTCGGAGGGCAGTGTACCATGCGGGTTGCTCCTGGTACTTCTCTGATAGCAGAGTGGACTGTGGAGCAACCCCGTGGTTGTTGTGGTCTGCTTCGGCAGACCTGCCGTCGGGGCGTCGTAGTTGAATGCGTAAGCGATCCTGCGACGCCCCATTAAGACGGGGGAAGGTTTTGTTGGGTTTTAGTGGGTAGTACTGGCTGTATTACGCCGGTGAGTCCCACACGTCGTGCGTAAATGCATTTCCCAACGTTAAAAAAAAAAAAAAGTGACCACAACGCAAGAGCCGAGTGCCATAAACGACTAGAACTTTCAGAACCAAAAATACTTTAGAAAAATCCAAATATTCCATGAAACATTTATATATGAACTTAATTATAATGACTAAACTAATAATAATCAAAGGCTGTCGTGTTCTTAGTGTAACGATTGGTCATAGACGTTACACCAGTGTAGACACTATAGAATACGAATAGGGTATTCGTAGTGTAACCATGCGTCCGAAGTTAAAATGTCTGCCTATTTATTTGGCACACGAAAAATCGTTTTTAATTTAATTATCTACCATATTAAGGAATGCATTGACTCTATGAGGTTTGAGCTTTGGAAAAATCTATAAAAAGAGAGATTTTTAAAAATTTATTTATTTACCTTTGACATACAAATATTAAGGAGTCCGCTGCACTGTATGAAAATAAGAGCAATAGGTATATATTTTTACACACATTATAAAGTAACCAATTTCATGACTAAATATGATTATGTAACACTCACGTTTGCCTTGCAAAATGCTCCATAGCACTAAATATAATGAAAGTATTATTGCTCAAAAGAATTATACGAGTAGGTGTTAACATTATTATAAAATAAAATATTTTTATTTTAAGTAGGTATGTATCAGTTTCATAAATATTACCTCTACTGTAGAAAGATCTCCCATTGCCTGTTAAAAATCGACACAATATTGAGAGGGTCTATCTAGTGTACCAGTTGATCACTCGTCACACCAACCTTTAGTTGTAGGGGAAAAGTGCTATGCAAGGGACAAGTTCAGAATGGGATAAATTAAATTTACGGCACTAGGAACCAAATAGTAGATTTTTGTTTTCTAAATTCTTACGATACTTACTCAGTAACAATCATGACGTACATTTAATTTGCTTTTCATAATAAAGAGAGTAGTAGTTTAATTATTTCGTGAGGTAAAGTATTTTATACGTTGTTTGTGAAATTTATTTATTAGATTATTTAAATAATATTTGATAGTTATTGTATTGCTTACTGACCATTGGCTTAATTACTTGAAAAGTGAGTACACAATAATACAAAGTTATTCGAAAATCTTTTCGCTGTGAGGATATTTTTAAAATAGTATGAAAGTCTTGAAAGGGATAACAAAATAGGCCTTGGAAGGGACGAATAAGTAGTAGATGAGGCAGGACTTAGACGGCCCATTAAGATGGGTGCTTCTGTTGGGCTTTAGTACTGGCTTCTCTAGCCGATAAGTCGGACATGACCACCTTTTTGTATACGTAATGGTGGTAAACGGTGGTATGAGTAAATGCATTTTTCAAAATATAAACGCATCGACCAGATTATTCTTAAGTATGGTATATTATTTATTGGAGGTGTATTAATAAATGATTAAAAAATATAAGAGCTTCTATAATAATTGCTATCGTCATGAATGAGACATATCTTAAGAATGTTTAAATTTGACTTTAATGCTACAATATTTCGAAAAGATATTGTTTTTGCTTTATATTTAGTTAGATGAATAGATAAAGTTACGTTATATACAAAAGATTTTTTATTATACCTAGCTTAATACTTTCTTAGATTTACGCAAATATTTGACATTTTAAATAAAACTATCTTTTCGGATTATTTCGCGGATTTATTTTAATTTTTGGTTCCCGACGTTTCGAATGCTTTACAGCAATCATGCTCACAATCATACCTACCTTATTTATTGCTCAAAATATTACACTAAAAAAATTGTACCATTCATGGCACTTTTCCCATATACGGTACAAATTGTAACTAAACACGTAATAGACTCGTTGCACTATAACTTCAGTTTATAAATTTTAATTTGAAATTTCATAAAAATTAAGAGGTGGTAAAACCACAAACGATTCATTTATTCTCTTATTTCGCAATAAATATTTTTCAAATACTTAGACTATCTTTATTTAAAAATACTAGCAGCAGGTTCATTTTTTGAGTTTGAGTTCTATTAAATTCGAATAAAAAAAAAAGATTTGTTTATTTATTTGTATATGGCGATTAAAAAAACAAAGATTCCGGCGAATTGAGAACCTCCTCCTTTTTGGAAGTCGGCTAAAAATGTTCCTACTGAAACAATTTTAATAATTCTTTTACTAATAGCTATTGAGTAAATAATATTTAGCTGATTATTTAAACTACACAGTAATAATTTTCCTCAATATTAATTTATCGTGAAGCAAGGATGGGCCAGCTATGTGGTTATACATATGTTGCTGGCCAAAAGGATTTTCAAATGAAAATATTTGTTTTTTTTTCAGGTATTCAAATATAAAAGTTGGAGAAGTGAGAGTTTCGGGTGCACATAAAATTATTTTTAATCACTTTGCAGAATATAAGTTGAGTAGATTTTGAGATATGAAATATTTTCAGTTACCTGTTTTCTCAAAAAGTTGTTAAGAAGAAAAAGTTGTTATAGATTTAGCGCGGTTTTAAGTATCCTATATGTTGACTCGATTAATCAGTTATAACCATACAAATTTCATCAAAATCATAATCATAGACAGTAAAAAAATCTAATAACTGTAGATGCGGCCTCGGTATCGATAATAGTCGTTATTACAATAAGATTTTCCAAAAAATATTTAATGTACAGATTCGGATCAGTTACAATTTTATTATACATAGGTATGAATATCAAAATAGTATTATATACCATTGCAGTTGAGTTGAAACCCACAGCCTGTATAAAAAAATAAATTATCGCTATTATTCCAAATGCACATTGCAGGTATATTCTGTAACTACTTCACCTGATATTGTCCTGTCATTTCAATTATGATCTTACAGTTCATACAAAAGTCCTATAGGAAAAAACACTAAGTTTTCCAAGACTTCCCCAATTTCCCGTAATTTTCAGGAAAAAATAAACAAATCGATCCAGCCGTTCTGAAGTGTTGCCCTAAAGAGCGCGTTAATTTGGTGCAATAATTATTTGGAAAATCAGTTAAGTTTTGTTAGTTAAAAATTATGCTTCGATACATGTTAGTGTTTTAGAAGACGAGGCGAAACCTCAACAGGCTACACTTGTATGCATTTTCATATTAGTTTGTTCGATGCTTGCTAATTAATACTTTTTTTACGAAAAAGTACAAAGAGAAACTTTATTAAGCAAGAAAGATAATACTTAGTACTGTCCCTCAAATTCTTTTTAGAATTTACAGTTCAGCCCGGTACAATCGTGTTTGAATGGACAAATCAATCAAAACCATCTGCTTTGTTGTACATTGTCAAATCACAAATGTTACTATTATTTATTTGTCCTAATAATGAATAATATCATTAAAAACTATATTATTACTAGCAGAACCCGCGGCTTCGCTCGCGCTAAAACTACATAAAACCCTAAAATGGTAGGTTTCATACAAACTTTCATCCGCTATTTTACCCCCATAAGGGATGAATTTCGAAAAATGCTAAAAAACGTATTTAATTAATTGTATCGAAGAGCATTAATACCAAGTTTCGAGTAATTCTGATCATAAATATTTTTTTGGATTGTATATAATGCACAAAACGTTATAACGTATGTTCCCGTGGGAAAGAGATAATCTCCCGCGGTAAAAAGTAACCTATGTCACTCTCCAGCCCTCCAACAATCTTCACACAAAAAATCACGCCAATCCGCCAAGCCGTTTCGACGTGAAAGAAAGACAAATAAACAAACAAACATACACACTTTCACATTTACATATATCTAATATTAGTATGGAAGTATGGACGTCAACTTTTGACCAACTCAAATACATATAGTGTAGCAATATACGCATTATACTATTATGTCAGGAACGCATTGCTTCAGCAGCCGGAATATACTCGTAAGAGTATAATATTTTGCTCTGTGTGTGTTTGTACGTAAATACTTACTAACGCTGTGGACGTGCTGCCGGTACACTGGAATTTTGAATTTTTGTATTACAACTACAATTACCACTAAATAGCTTATAATTCCAACTGTATTATGCTTTCGGTTTATGCACCGAGTTGCGTCAAATGAATTTAAATAACATTCTTAAAAAATGTTAAAAGCCATAGCCCCAAGTTAAGAAGTTTGGTAATTTTACACTATCATGTTTTGGAAAGCATGTAAGGTAGAGCGGCTCTATAGGTATAAGGGCATATTAAAAAGAAATAAATAAGCGGCTAAAGATTCGTTTTATTACTTAGAATTTAGCTAACAGAGATTTCTTAAGTGTAGAATACAAATATTTGAGATGAAAAAGGTAAAATAAAGCAGACCCGAGACGATCAATCGTAATTGTCAATTTTATGTTATTGTCAATTGCCATTAATCGTTCACAAGTACAATTGAAGCGATTGTCAATCGCAGTTACATGATTGAAAACAATTGATAGAAATGTTGATTGATGCTCATTGACAGGAGCCATTGAAGTTACCAATTGATCGTATACTGAGTCATTGACAATTTCCGTCATTCGGCTGCATAGCTGCCCACAGATTAAGCAGACTACTACCATTTTATTAAAACAATATTTAAATTTATAGTAGATAATAGAAAGATAATTACGTAATATAAAATTGGCACAATGATTGAAAAAAATAATAAAATATATTTATTATTTCTTTCGGTCATTGTTCCACTTTTACGTAATTATCTTTTTATTGTTGCAGGTGGTTTCTGTAGATCGATCATTAATTTATAGTTTTAATTCCACGTTATAGCTGCTAAATTTCAAAATTACCGCTCAAACTCACTCGTGTCTTCCTCACTATACGTGACACTGGCAGAAGGTATTGCGGCTGTTAACGCAACTCTAAGTCACTAAAGAAAAAAAAGAGACAAACACTAACTGTTCCAATGCCAAAAAGCATACTGAGCGCAAACACATAGAAAACTGCATCAATCGCATTCAATTGCAATTATTGACAATACCGTAGCACATTGACAATTGCGATTGATCGTCTCGGGGGTTAAACACAAAAATTTATTACGTGGGCTAGTATAAAATGTTCTGCAATAAATTCGGCACTAATTTATAGAAATAATTAGCTTATTTTCCCTTATTTTAAGTATTTATTGGAACTGATTCTCTTGCAATTTAATATTATAGAAAATTCAACGAGTCGAGTATCTTGTCCGTGCCGAATAGTTAGGAGCAAATAGAAGAAGTAGAATACAGTTCTAATAATAAAAACTTACATTTGAATGGCAGTCGTTGCCTTTGCACTAAAATAGTGATGTAAATTAAAATGACGATAATACGTTTTATGATGTTATAGGATAAAACATAAATATAAATTTCAAACTTCCAATCATCAGCCTTAGAATTTTCCATTAGAAGTAACTCTTAATACTTTGGACGCTTAATGTTTATTTTAATGTAAAAAAATATATCATTTTATAATGATTTTGGACTGTGGAACAACCCCATGGTTTTTGTGGTCTGCTTCGGCAGACCTGCCGTCGGGGCGTCGTAGTTGAGTGCGTAAGCGATCCTGCGTTGCCCCATTAAGACGTGGGAAGGTTTTGTTGGATTTTAGTGGGTAGTACTGGCTTTTCTAGCCGATGAGTCCTACATAACCACGTCTATGTCTATAGGTGGTATGCGTAAATACATTTCCCTACATTAAAAAAAAAGGTTAGAGGATTATATAATTTAGAGAAACTGTCGCATTATTCTTTAGTCTAAACCAACTATCGTACGATTAGCAACAGAAAATACAATAAACTAATACCTTTGCTGTACATGTCTTTGTCACCTGTGAAAGTATTGAACCTCACTAATTGATATAGGTAATTGATTTACTTATTTAGAAATCATTTTCTTGGATAATAATAATTAAAGTTTAAATAATTAATTAACATGACTTACACTTTCCAATTGTTGTAGATTAATATTACCGGCCAGTAAAATCTGGAAATATAAAATATCTTTGATACATTTATGTATCGTGTTGTTTGTAAAGAATACCGTTTGGTAATAAATTACACTAGTTATAGGTACAAATAAAGAAAACTTTGACGGTAACAATATGAACACAAGAAAAACATGAAGTAAGTCGAAACTTTAGATATGGATATAATATTTCTATAACTTTTCTAATATTTCTGTATTTAATCAACATGACGAAAATTATTTACGATGGAATTGGAAGCTTTAATATATATATATTGTTGTTTTAGTTCTCTTATATTGATTTAGATTACTTATTTAAAGATAACTATAAATTTAAAGCCTTTGTCGATTCTAATGAAGAATGTCCTCAGAAAATATGACAGTTGTTTGATCGGATAAATAAACATCAAAACATAAAAATGTTGCTCGCACCCTGTCAGGATCATTGTACAACGTAGGTACACGTTTTTTGTGATCAATTAATTTAACAACTTTCTTACAAAATTAAATATAACGTTATTATAGAACTACAATATTTATTTTACATCTGTATTTATTAAAAAATAATAAATGTCATGACTTGGCAATTGTATAAACAAATAACTTCGCTTTATTATCGTTATATTTTATCGAAAACGTTTCAATAATTATGAAAAGAGAAAATGAAATATGTTATAAAGATTTTGTTGATACAACAGTTTTTGTATATCATTTTAAACTATCCTAAAAATTACAGTAATTTTCCTCTAAAATGTATGACTTGAACAATTATTTTTTTATTTGCCAAATGTATAGTAAAAAAAATGTAAAGTAAAAAAAATTATAATAACAATTACATACGATTACTGCTAGTGGTACAATAATCTCTTCCCAAGATGGCATCCCTACTTGCTTTGCTCTTGAATAATAAAAAATTTAAGAATGCCACGCATGAATAGCCAATTCGTTAGTGCTGTAATCGATTTTAATACCTACCCATAATTTTAATTGATGTGGTACTTTTTACAAGAAAATTGTTATTTTCCTCGTTAAAGATTTTGAAATTTTAAAAATTTTCTCGAAGATATTTTAAGTAACGAAGGAAAACTGCATAAGATGATTTATTTTTTTACTTAAAAAAAACCGAAAGGTAACCTAATATAGTAATTTAGAAAACATACATATAATAATATAACAGACTGCTGCATTTAAGTCGTGCATTATTGTGCTGACTGCTGACTTTAAATAATTGCATTTTAAATTTATTCATTTGTAAGAGATTTTGATGTTTTTAATTTCAAATTCTATTTTTTTTAAACAATTTGTATTTTACACCGCGTAATACTATTATTTGCTTTAATACATTTAGTACGTACTAGCTAGTTAAACTCTACGTGACTAGTTGCGGGTCATTTTATTTAGTAAGTCACAGCTATATTTTAAAGAGATACTTATAATAGGTACCTATATACTTACGCAAACTCAAAATATATTCAATTATATTTATGGTTACATGAGTTCAATGATACTCCACTTTAAGGCCATATAGACTTTATTGAATGCCACAGATGCTATTTGAATTAAAATTTGAGTCAACAAATCTAATATTAATAATAACATACATACAAGTTGTATATTTTGAGTATGGATATTATTCTGAATTAAATTGATATACATACATCTATTAAATCTATATATCTTTTGTAGATATTTACTACATTTTTGATAAATCTTTTAGTACTAGGATAGTAGATACGATACACAATGTTTTGTAAATATTAGGTATGTTACTATGTTACTATAGTGAAGAGTTTTATTGATAGACACTCTATTATGTACAGTTTTGATATATTAAGACCAAAGAAAGCCCCGCTATATACAGCCTTAGGCCACATGATTTCCTTTACATATTAACTAGTTGATCCCGCATACAATACACTGATTACACCATCGCGTATTGTTCCGATCCACACACTTATGTAGAAGTTTCTTTGGAAAATTTTAGTTGAGACACTACGTATACGTGCATAGTAGAGACGCTACGAAACGAAAATATGTTCCGAGGACAGAGAGGTGAGCCGAGCAGTCGCGACTTAGTTCCGTCTGTTCCTCACGACGGATCTGAGTCGCCGTCCCCACATGAGATTATATCATACGATCGTCCCCTGGAGATGCTGCGGGTCGGGCGAGGGCGGCGGCAGGCCAGTCGCTGACGTGGAAGGCAGCGCGGCGGCCAGGTCCTGGTAGCCGCCCAGCGCTGCCAGCCGGTCCGCTGGGCCCTCGTCCGGCGGCGTCACCTCCAATCCGATACTGCCGTTTAGAGCGATCTTAATTGCATTCGCATTCTGCTGCTGCTGCTGCTGCTGATGTTGCAGCAGCGAGTTAAAGTGCGAAATGCCGATCTCCTCGAGACTACTCTTGCGGCGGCGAGAAGTTGCACCCGTCCCGAGTCCCTGTCGAAGGGAGTTAGAGCGGCGAAGTAAGATATCATCAACGATACGAAGGGAGTTTGAACGACCACGAAAGTCGGTTACAATTGTAGGGCTATCAGGTAGGGAAAGTGAATTTGCCTTTGTGGAAGTAAGGGGCGGAGCACGAGGCGAGAGGCTGGAGAGTCCCCCAAGCGCGGAGCCGCGGCGACTGCCGGCCGCCGCCGCCTGGATCAGAGCGCCGGAGCAGAAGCTGATGTTTGACTTTCGCCGGCTGTTGTGCCTTTCAAAGGTTTTTTGCGCAGAGAACGGTGAAGGACGCACCAAATATCTGTTGAGCAAGTCTTAGAAAAGTCCGTGTGAAGATTTTGTTTTATTTTATTTAAAGTGCAGCACTTACATGATATCGCCTTCCTGTAAATTAAGATCGCAACTTGGGTTTATTATAACGTATGATAAACTGTTTCGCTTCTCACTGACATCGTCATAGTCAACACCGGTTAAATTTAATGATTCCATTCGAGATCGCACGAGATTCGCAATTTCTGCTCTTTCAATTTGTTGTGCGTGATTATCTCTGGCTTCGTCGGCCAAGCTTGTTGAATACTGGAAAACATAACATAAAATTAAACTGATATCATATTTCATACATATAACTATTGTACTGAAGTGCGTACACTCACTAATAATTTTATTCATTGGTTTTTTTCAGTGCTTTTAGTGCTGAATATATATATATATATATATATATATATATATATATATATATATATATATATATATAAATAAATTTATAATATTAGGTAGTATTAGAAGCATGCACGATATACATACACAATTGATAATATTTAAAGATAATTGTTAAATATTGATTAACTTATTTTAATTGTTAGTTTATTAAAACTGTAATTTAATTTTTGTTTTTTTTTTTGTGCGCAAGACATTCGTTTCACATTATGACAGTGTCTATATGAAAAGAGAATCGTATGCCTTATGCACTCATAAATTCATATTCTATAAACTAGTATGTAGTTCTAAGTGTAAATAACGCATAATTAATAAATATCTCACGCCTACTTCTAGAATCTAGACTAATCTAAAGCTTAAGAAAAATGATGCAAACTCATATCCATGGCGACAATAAGGTCGCTGTTAAGTATATGGTATGATAAAATGATACAATTTATAAGATTTTAAAAGATTTAAATTACAAAATACCTTTACACCGGCGTCTGTTATAATACAGTTAAAAAATATTTATGAGGCATTAAAAATATTTTAAATTGAGCCATAAGTGGTCGACGACTAAGTGGCGGTAATATTAACTAATATTAATATTACTTTTTGTAAATGAACCTCAACATATATTAATTAATAATTAAGTAAGTTGTTAGGGTAAAAATCTGTTAGTCGCCGACGTCGGACACATCACGTGTGGCGTGAGCTTACCGCAGGAGTACGGTCGCCGTAGCAGCCACTGAGGCATCCCGTAGTCCCTCTTCGCTGGCGCGCCCTCCATGCGCGCTGGGACCCACCATCTCGGCTCTCCCCAGCCTCCCCAGCTGCCTGCAACTTTTCTATTCATACTTCTGCTACGCCTACAAATCTCTAGCGCAACGCTCACTCGCATATTCAGTTTTAGATTTTAATTAAATTAGATATTTCTTATCGTCTTTCTTTACTTATTAAAAACTTCAATTACATATTTTGATTTCAAAATCATTTAGAAATTGTAACATCAAGCACTGTTTATAACGAGAGAGCATTAAAACAGTTACAAAAGATAACTGCAATCTACATTTACTTATTAATAATCATGCAAAATTATGCTTATAAATAAATAAATACATAGATTACACTAAAGAAAAGAAATTTTAAAACTACCTATTTCTTCAGTGTAAATAAGCTAAAGCATTTGTTTCGGTTAATATCATGATGATACATGTATTGGTCGATAGGACAAGTCATGCAAGATTATTTTTATATCGGATACTGATGAAGGGTGTTTACGGTATCTGCGTATAGCAGCAACATTTTTTGGCAAATTAAATCGGCGGTGGTACATCGCTATATGTTGATGTAAAATGATGTCGCCCAAATCTATTTATTCTAACAGATCATGCAAACACTTACTAAACATCATTGCGGGATTGCGATCATCGAGTTCGAGACCGAAATATGTACAAATCATTAAACCTTTCGAGGAATGTGACCCAAACCGACGCGTTTTAAATATCGTTTGAAAACACTCTTTAGTCAGATCCGTGTTTCCGCAAAAGCACAAAGGTTCGACGTTTTGGCTATAGCAATTTGCGATTGAATAGAAAATTAAGCTTGTGAATTTGCTTTATAAAGAAAAATTAAGTATCTTATGAGAAATAGAATGTCGTATAAATGCAAAAACTAATTTACAGAGACGCCACAAGTGTAGGCTTTAAATGTACATGTAGACAGTTTACAATGAGTGTAACGCTGACCCGAAGTAAAGATAAAATAGATTCAAAAACAGTTACCCGAAATACAGTCCAAGGACTAGGACTACATGAATTTGAATAATACTTAGATATTTAAATTAGTGTACAAAAATATAATTGGCGGTAGACAGCGGCGAAGGACTGTATTTAAGGAGCACTTTCTGAGAGTTACTGTAGACCGACTCACCGATTCGCGCGATGGTCGCATTCCCGCGAAGCGTGACCAAAACCACCCTGACGGTGCCCGTGGCGACATACTCACGTGGTGCGCTTGATCAGCCAGGCTCGTGTCCTGGGTGCGATAAATCCCTATGGGGATTTCGCATGTTGTTGAACACAACTTTTGATATAAACGGCCATAAGTGCGGATCCACATGTCCTCTTTAGTTATTTTCATCTGTCACAAGCCCAAGTTTACACGGTTATTTATTGAGACAAAATATATTGTGCAACTAGCCTAATTATACATATATAAAATAGTTACAACTAGTAGTTATAGCATAAGAAGTCGCTAGTTTTAGCTAGATATTAAAATCGCATAGCGAAATGATGAGGTGTTATGATTATGAGGAAATGAGTGTAACTTTTCGCGAGCTTAATCACAAATCAAAACACATAAAACTTACAGATGTTAAGAATCCTGAGCCCGGAGCTTGATCTACGCCCAGTAATAATCTCACAAATGTAATGACGTAATCTTTTACGAAAGCTTGGTAGAGCAAAGTGTCCAACATGGACGCGGAAAACACGGAGCCAGCGGCGAAGGGGAGCCGAAACATATAGGATATGTGAGAGCCTCGCTCTTTCTCTCGCTGCAGAAACAAATGCTGTAGTAAATTTAAAATAGACTGTAGTTTTAATCAAACAAGTAAAAATTAAATAGTAATAAAGAACCTTTTCCATCTTCGACAGATGCAACGCGTACTTGTCGTGAGCTCTGAATTGCATGAACCGCATATTTGACGACTGAGACAATTCCGTTATGGATTTAATTGATGGAAAGAACCTGAAATAAACAAATATTACATTTCATTTTTGTTTTGAACGCATTGTTTTTAAATCCTTTCGCCGGGCATCCTTGGTACATATTATAATAAAATGCTGTTATATATAATTAATCGCTAGCGTATTTTAACAAACTTTCGCCAGGCTTTTCGCTTAGTATTTTATTAATTTAAAAAATCTTAATGCTTAATTTAAAAGTTATGAAAAAATTACAATAATATTAAAAACATTAATTTTACTTGAACATAGTCTGAACTGCTACAATGGTGTTACAGTCGGACAGGCTATCCTCTTCGGCTGAGTTAGATAGCTCTTTGTTTACAACAACCACGTTTTCAGCAAGAGTTATTCCAGCTCTTAGAAGATCATCTAAGCTGTAACAATATTTAAACGTAATTATAATTTAAAGCATATTCATATGTTGTTATATTTATGAAAGAATCATCGTGCTTACCAATCAATAGAACCAAGCATCCAGTAAATGAGTGGGAAGTATGAAATCGAATCAAGGAAGGCTATGTCAGGTCGACGCTCTAATAAGAGAATAATTGGATTAAGTGATGTCTTAGACCTGAAATGTGCGCGCAGGGGAATAATAAAGTTATAAATGCCATTAGAGGCATAATCTGCAGCGAGAATAATAGTCTTGTTTTGCCATTGATATTCTTTTGCGTTGCGGTATGCGCAATGTTCGCAAACTTGCGCCAGCTGAAGACAGCAAAGTGGTTTCTTCTCCTTTAATAAATAGCAAAGGGTAGGACTCACGCCGATGAAAGGTGAAACTGGAGGGAACCCTTTCACTATTCTGTAAATCAGTATAAATATAATTTAGTAATCATTTGCATTTCAAAATGACACATACTCGTACATATCAATAGGCCAAAGCAAAGCTTATTGAAAAGATTTTAAAAGTCATATCTATACATATGTAAATGTATAGTTGCTATAAAATAAAATATTACAAATAAGTAAATATTTAACTGGACAAGGTAAGGTCATCGATATAATTGTGAGTATATAGAAAATGTGCTATTAATAAACTAACATTCAATAGCAAGCATATTCTAGCAAGTGCGATATTTTTTAACCAAAGACAATAAACAAATAGTATGCATAATTAATAAATTGGCTTTTTTGAATGTAAATAGAATGGAAAATAAGTGACAAAATACAATATGCGTAGCAGTTTTTAAATTTATGACATTATTAACAAACAGTATAATTTCGATAACAGCTTTAAGATATACATAACATTTAATCAATTGTGGCATACATGGTTTCAGCACTCAATGGTAGTAGGTACTCCAGGCAGGTAGATACAAGGTTACAGGCAAGCAATTTAATTCCAGATGTCATCACATAAACACAACAACATTGAAAGTTCAGTCATATTGGGAATATAATTTGCATTTTCATGTCATGCTCACCTGGTGAAGTCGTTGCGCCAGGCAGAGCGCGTTTCACTGCCAGCTAACGAAGAGAGCGAGCTTGTGGTAGCATCGTCACTGCGTCCGCCGCGGCAGTAGGGACATACTCAGGGCTCAGGGGTACGTACACAATGCACACATTCGTATCAACTAAACACTTAGGAAGGATAACATTCTGTGCTAATAATACGAGCTTTGGGAATCGTGCTATATTTCGTTTCAGAACTAACAAAAAAAATAAAAATATATTTACTGTATTTTACACGTATTCAGCTTGTCTTATAGATTAGACTTTTAATGTTTATAGTTTATATTTATTATTCAGTTGGATCTTCATTAAAGCAAAGTGAAAACTGTTAAGGTATACATATAATATTATTATAAGTTTCCAAATAAATGTTTATGTACATGCATATTGGCATCAAGATGATCATTATCTTGCATTTCGTAAATAAATTTCATGAATAGTGAATATCTGCGAGAAGGAAAGATAATAATAAATGTTTGTTTCTAATGAAAATTATGATTAAGAATTTCAGCAATAATACTCAACATTGTTATGTTTATACAAGTTTTTTTTAAATGCAGGGTCTTATTTCAGCAAAAAAAATTTTTGTGTATATTCGCAAATTGTGAGCCGATTTCTTCAATGAATAGGCATCAAGAGTTAGATTAGTAGTTAAAAAATATACCTTTTAAGTCTGGAGTGGTTTTAGATTTTTTTTTTGTTAGGAATGTATTATTAATTATTTTATTGTTATCGTTTTTTTAATTTTATTTTAACGGGACTTTGATATATTTATATGCTTATATTATTAACAAAGGGAGGATCTAGTAATATGTACATTTACAAAGTTTACATTCTAAGTTACTAATAATACCCATTTGACATTTAGCTGACAATGCAAAATGTGAGCTACAAGCGAAGCAACTTTTATGTTTAATGCTTAATGGGATAATAATAAATAAAGTAACAATGACGTACTTTGTGCAGATTTCATGCAGCTGTAGATCCGCTCGCTCTATCTACACGATTGAATGTACAGGCTAAAACAATAAGAAATTTTTGGTAATCGTCAAAATATTGTGATTAATCAAACGTTACACAATTATTTTGACGATAAAACAAAAATAAAGAGGCAAAATTTATGTTTCCCAACTCTCAATTATATTTAAATTAAAAACTATAGTTACCAGTTGTAAATTTTTAGGAGATTAAATTTTTCTTCAAGAGCCTAGTACAGCTAAGGAGCTGTGCTCCTCACTTTGAGTCTAAATTTTGCCTTTACTCGGATCTACATTGCGTAAAGTATTTAAATCGTGGAATAAATATTATTAAAGATTATTCAATGTAGATCCATGATATAAGAAAATATAATTTAAATGGTCTCTACATATAAAATTGAAAAGACAGCGAAGTGGAAAAAATAAAAAGGCGTGCGTGCATGGTCGCAGTACGGCGAGTCAATCTGCGATGTGTCTTACGCGATCTTCTCGGAAGGAGAACGCCATGGCACATCATCCTCTAGTTCATCTTCACTCTCATCAGCTTCAACTTCGTCATCTTGATTATCTGAAGCTATATTCAAGCTACTGGTTACCATGTCCGGCACCGGCAGAATCGACGGCCGCCTACTGCCTGCAATACGAAAGTTACTGATTGCGTCAACTATCACATAAAAAAGTTAAAAATAATTTCTTAAAGTAATAAAATTATTTTATTTATAAACGACTAGCAGAACCCGCGACTTCGCATACGCTAAAACTACAAAAAAAAACGCTAAAATGGTAGGTTTCATACGAACTTTCATCCACTATTTTACACCGTTATGGGATGAATTTCGGAAAATGCTTAAACATGTATTTAATTAATTGTATTGAAGAGCATTATTATCAAGTTTCAAATAATTCTGATAATAAATATTTTTTAGGATTGTATTATGAAGTGTTTTCCCGTGGGAAAGAGATAATTTCCCGAGGTCAAAAGCAGCCTATGTCACTCTCCAGCTCTCCAACTATCTCCGCACAAAAAATCACGCCAAGCCGTTTCGACGTGAAAAAAGACAAACAAACAAACACATTTTCACATTTATATAATAAAAAAAAGAGTGGATATACCTCGTCGGCAGCTCAGAGAGTCAGGGCTTAAAAAGTTGGTATTATCAGGTCGTGGCAGTAAGAGGTGGCTATCGGTGGCACTATCCGTGGCTGGTGATTCTTTGAGGCAAGTTCTTGACTCGGAAGCCGATGTAGAAGCTCCCTCCCCCAGTTTTGCTGAAAATTTTAAAATATTCCTGTTCATAAATTTCATCAGATATATTAAATATTTAAGTTTTCTCTTTTCTTTATTTGGTAATCCAGATTTGCAATAAACCATTTCTTATTTTCATTTTGGTGTTCAAATGAGCTTGAATATAATATATTGTATAATACCCATATATACCTAATTGTTTAGTAATATGAAATTTAACAATTATGTTCTTCTTCTAAAACATTTAACGATATGTAAGTTAATGCGGATAGATGATATGGGGTTTTATGATAAAAGTGATTACCTATTATTATTAATGAATTTTGAATTCATACCATCTAAAATCTAAGGCAACATATGAGACATATGTATGTATTAGGCATTTTATCAAATGAATTAGAGCAGAGCTGCAATTACCTCAGTAAATTTAAACCTTTGTAATATTAGCGATGGAGAAGTAACCGAACCAAAAACAAGTTTGTTTCAATGATTAACGAAAGTTTAATTTATTATATAAATAAATTAATTTTAAGCTAATAAACAAATATATTTTAAGATAATAAATGTTATAATTTTAAGATAATAAATTAATTAATTTAAGATAATAAATAAAGTGATACGAGGATTATATCTTGGTATCGGTTACTCTTTACTAAATTGAACAAACTTATTAACTGATTTAAACAAATTCTGTTTCGTAAATACGTGGTAACACTAGATGCAGCTTATTATCAGCATAACATGCAAAGAACTTTTAAACTTTTATTAAATTAATAAAATCAAGAAATACCAGCTAATCAAATTAAAAAGACTACTATTATTCTCTTTATATATATATTGAGAGCGCCAAGGCAATATGAGAAAAGAAATCAAATAATTCAATTAAAGTTAGAATCTTTTAGTAACCTGTAAGGTTCTTATTCCAAAATTTACCTTGATTGAAATTACCCAATTATCCTTTAAAATGGTGAGCTGCTCTCTGTCCAGGTCTGCCAATTGTTTCGATGATCGAGTTTTAGTAAAAAAATAATTTTGATGACATCGAGCAACTTAAGCAAAAAAATAAAATAAAAAATAAAGTAGATCTAATGATCGCTAAAAATAGATAAATTTTCGATCATAGCCGATCTACTTTAAGCTCTATAATCTAACTGTGACACTCACAGCCAGCGACAATTAAATTAGCGGATGAAACAGTATTAGCTTGGTTGATGCGTGATGGCGATGCATTTGGCGTGGAACTCGGGGGAGCTTGTAGAACCACTTGTGGGAGGTCGTACTGAGCCACGTTAGTACCGTCTGGTCTTTTTTGCTGTCCGGAGCCGTCCTCAGCATCCATGGGTTTCTTCTCGTTACTAAGAAGGCTACATGTCGTATGATCTTTAGGTATTGCGTTGGACTTGCTTTCAGTCTGTTTATCAGAGACTACGAAGGCTGAGTTTTCTTCTTTAGTAATGCTCATATAATAGCAGGTGTCACTGCTTTTCATAATGTGTCGTGGGCCAGGATTTAGAAGAATGGTCTCCTCATAAAATTCAGGTAACTCGGCTGGTCGAACACCAACTAGAGCTACTCCATACCTAAATTGACAAAAATAAAAAAATACGTCATGCATAAATTCAAAAACCGCTCTATATATACGTAAAATTTTCAAACTTTTTCATACTTCCTATGTGAATGGAAACTGGCATAAGTAAAACTTTTTCCTTCATATTCCCCAAAGAATCGACTATCGCCGAGGACGATATGATAAATTTCGTTTCCCGAACATTTTCCATATAGACGGTGCCATTCTTCGGGAGATTGCTGTCCTTCTCTAGAAATATATTAGAAATATATTGATATTATTTTATTTTTATCAAAGATTTATTCATTTATTGATAAAAATTAAACTTACTGTCCGCGGCTAGTATGAAGTAATAAGGTGACAAGGGTAGAAGCTCCGGGGCAGGTGCAGTTGTTGGCGAGCAGGGCATATTTAAATTCATCTTCGCATACTACAAATTCTGCAAATTTTACATGTAATTTATTCTCTGGTCGAAAAATCTGCACGTATTGAGGAACATCGGGCGCAAAATCTTTTACGGCCCAAGATCTGTAATCAGGAAAAATAAAATATCATTACACTGTATTAATTTAGAGAATAATATCTATATTTTATCTCGTTTTAAATATTTTTGTAACTTACCTTAAAATTGTATGCTCGTCAGCGGCTGTTTTATCAGCGTAATTTCTGGCAGCTAGTATAAAGCAAGCCTCTGCCTCATTCATACGCGCACGTATTAGATCAGTGTCCTTCAGACATGAGCCTTGGATGTAAATAACTCTTTGGGCCCATATTGGAACCTAGTTGCAGAAATATATTAATGATACTACATGTCCTATAAAAATATTACAGAAAAAGGAAAGCAAGTGTAAACAAAATATCTACTCTTACCTGCAAAATCATCCTCATGGTGGTGTCAAGTTCCATTGGCGACAGTAGAACAACATAATAATCTTGTAGTAATGGGTGTGCATAAAATTCATTAAGGAAGTCCATGATAGTGTCCGCATGAAGAGTTGTCGAACAGACAACAACATGTTTCTCAGATTGTGCTCTATGCGACGAATACGAGCCTCCTAGTTTTTGTCTTTCCATCCACGTAAATGCCAATTGTTCAAACTAAAAGTGAAGTGTATATTGTATAGATTAAATTGTTTAAAACATTCCATTAGATCTAATTGTGCGAGAGAATAAAACTATCTTTTGGGATTTTTTGGCGATTTTATTTATTTAAATGAATCCTCGAAAAAAACCGATAAGATAGTTTTATTTAAAATGTTAAATATTCGCGTAAATCTAAGAAAGTATTATGTGCGAGAGAAAATTTTATTTCTAAGTTTTACACAGCTTTGACTTTGTGAAAGCTTTTTAGATATTAAAATAGTGGGATTTAGCAAGCGTGTGGGTTTCATTACGTATAATGTACCTAATCGTCAAATGTAAATGTAAATTTTATTTTAACATAAATGAAAGGTAATGAAAGGGTAGAGTAATATTTATAATTAAAATTAAATAAAATTTCTATTCTTTAGGTGTCTTTGACTGTGTAAAAGCTTTTTAGATATTAAAATAGTAAGGTAGACTTGGGTTCCATTACAGGAGTACAACTGACATAACCGTAGAAAAAGAGCTATATGCCGAAATCAAAGAAAGTTTTTGTAACAATATTAGTTTGGAGAAATAATCTTCATAAACCATAAAAGATCTCAGACTACATTTTTAAACCTCTTTAGTATAGTAAATCGATTGAGTAGAATTAATAATTTACCTTATAATATTATATATGAAATATATAATATTTTATTTAAAGACTAAAAGAATGTAATTTGCAATTGTGCAATATATATGATAAAAATATGAATATTAGTAGGTTATGTGACAAAAATGATTATTATCATTAGTGATTGAAAATCAATATGTTTTTTATTTATGGTACGTATGTACACACATACATAAGTCGGTACTAGTGGTATTATGACCGGCATTGGCAAAATGATTATAGATAATATGCTTACATTAATATTGCATTTTCCAATTAGTTTTTTAGTAACATATGCGAATTTAGAATAGTGTTAGCTGATCTTTTCCTAATTCTTGTAATTAAAAGCAAGTCTATAATTATATTTTTACATTTATACACGGAGACATGATAAAAAAAAAGATTCAATAAATAGCATTTACGTATTTTTAAACAACAATAAAAATGTGAAGTATTTAAAAAATGCCTTCGAACTTTATAAATATAAAAAAATATTGTTACTAAAATTTCCTATGTATATAATTTAAACCGGAACCGTTTCTATTTATGTCCGACGTATCAATGGCGTTGCACATATCGCGAATAGCTTGTGAAAAGTCGGACAAAAATAAACAGCAATAAGTAAAATATTTATATTTTAAATAATACCTACGTATCGTGCAAACTGTAAAAGCTTACTATGTAAAACAGCTGTACAGGTACAGGTACATTTTACGTACTTATTCTACATATTCGTGACTTTAGTGCTACAGCTTACAAGTGTAATGGGAGCTAGTTGTAAGCAAGCGTTTGTCTATCTATCTATTAAAATATCCAAAGGGAATTGTGAAATAGATTGAAACAGGCATTGTGACGGGACTCTTCAAACCTCCTCATGGGACACAAACTTACTGCCCCGTTTTTATGTCTATGCGACACGTTTGAACTAGCACCCGTATAGATTGCTTAGAGTCTTCCTTCCCCTTGAAAATTATTATTTAATCCTTTAAAAAGTAATTTATCTTTTGCAAGCCTTTTATATGAACTAAGTTAAGTTAATAAACGATTATGTCTAAATTACTACTTATCTACAGATTATTTATAACTATCTACGTACTCGTATATTTAAGGTAAGATTTTTTTTCGATTCCTAGTAGATATAAAATATCTACTTCAAATTTATTAGATTAGGTATTATTGATTAGAAAATTCATTGAGTTATCTTTTGTTAATGTAAAAAGCTCTTTATGATATTTTGGAAGCTCTAAATTCTCATTTAGCAAAACATGCATGTCTAAACAAATTAATAGACTTGCAACGAATATTCGGGTATTATTTCTTTTCCTTTCCTTTCTTTATTCGGCTATTATTTCGGTATTCGGCCTATTTGGATACTTTTATCATATTCAGCCAAATACCGAATACTTAAATGGTATGTTTTGTTGTAATCAGATAATTAATTGATAAAATGAAAATTTTATTATAATAATATTTATTATTTTATAATAATATATTTTTGTATTATAATCATTAAAGTAGTAACAGATACATAATCTACGTCTGTATTACAAAAAACAAACAAAAATCAAATAAATGTCTATGCACTTGCATTATCATAATTAAAATTTAGAACTACTAGTTTATATTATTTTTTTGCATATTCAGGAAGTAGTTTACTACTTTTCTTCTCGTAGACAATCCTAGCTCCAGATAAAAGACGCTCTAAATAACTACTTCCTGGCGCCAAACAAGAAACAAACACATCCATACAAGTTTACCCCCCACGCGCTATACGAATACTTTTGCCGCCATGGCCACTCGGCGTATGACCGAATATACTATTTGTTGCAAGTCTACAAATTAATTTTAAATTTTACTTCGATTAAAACGTATAAAAAGACTGAAACTTAAAAATTAAACTTTTCATGTATTCTAAATCTTAAAAAAAGAACCTTTTTTCAATCATTAGAATTAAAGGACTATTTAAATTTTTTTGCACGCTGTTTTTGATACTTTCAAAAGAACCTTTAAATACGTCATGCCATATTTATTTAAGATGTTTCTTGGAATTTGATATTGAATTTGACAGTAAAAATATCTACTATCTGCTATCAAAGTTAAATCCTGAAGTATTTAAAATATTCTTTAAGTTACTAATAAGTATATTATTAATATCGCGATGAAAAGAATTTAAGTCTCTTTAGCGCTTAATAGCTTAATTAAGTTTGCGAGGAAGAAAGTGCGCCCTTGAGTGGTGCATTGTGTTAATGACTTGAGTGATCTATGCTCTATACCTACATAAAAGTAAGCGGTTGATGACGTTTAGGTGTGTCTTAACTCCCTCATGTGATAAAATACACTCACCTTGAAAATATATCATTTCAAAAAACAAATTTTCTGAAATATTTTTTAAACATATATATTATTATTTTATTAAACATAGATTTTGTGCCCGAGTTATTGAAAAGTAAGTCGTTATAGTACTATTGTAAGTGCTTATACTACACTAATCTATAACGGGCTGCTAAAAGCCGGTTTACTTACCGGCGTGCGTGCAAAATGGATGGGTATTACATTCCAAACCTGTGTGGGCAAAACGACGAGGGCAACCCCAATCATTATGACCATGAAGAGTTGAGAAGGCCAGATATCAGGCACGAAGTCTCCATAGCCCACGGTTGAAAACGTAACGACAACAAAATATGTCGCTTGAAATAAATTCAAGTGGCGATGTCCAGCACGTTGGAAATGTTGAATTCCGCAAACACTGAGACAGACATTTTTATTACAATAATAGCACACTGAATTAATGTGAATATAATATTAATTGAAATAAACCTATAAATTTTTTATATTTTGTAACGCTTTGTTATATTTATATCTAAGTTTCATATAAACTTACCTACTTACACATTCCTTCGATGTGATTAAATAATAACAAAAACGAGAGAAAGTGATTTTACCCAATAAACGTAAAAGCTTGAAAGTGGTTGATGAAATCTTAAAAGGCGTAAATTGAAAGGGTACGTTGTCGTGAAGATGGTTCAGAATCATTTTTTAGAAAAAAGAAAAACTCGCTTGAAAGTATTTTACATAATGTTTACTTAGCAAAATATAATTTAGGGTGCGAGGGTCTTCTGCTGCAATGCTCTAGGTATTTATGTAGCAAAATAGTGGTCATGTATAAGCATTATCAATAATATGTATAAGTAAGAAAAACTTTTGATTTATAACTTTCTAAGTTAAATTGCTTGGTTTAATAAGGAATTCAGAAAGAGATATTAGATTCGTCACTACTCATGTGACGTAGCAGTAACAAATGTTATTGTTGATATTCATATATAAGTATTATAATTAGGGATGCTACTAAAAATAATATTGAGGCTGCAGTTTAGTATATGGGACGCGGCCCCTGGAGGAGTGGGTGGTATATTTGGATAGGGGGCCGATAGGAAGTCCAAATATATTAATTTATTTTGAGAAATCGAAAGAGTCAAATGTAACAGACTTAAAGTTACAACAATTCCATATATTATTATGACATTACTGATTAACATATTTCTATTTTAAAATCTTATTAATCTCACGACGATTTTCACCTTTAATATGCATGCCTCTTAACTAATTATTAAGCGATAATCTGGTATGTCCTGAAAGCGGTAAATAAAACAGAAATTGACAGTATTGTTAAAACTTAAGATTATTTGGTTTTGATTACGGTTTTTAGTGAAATTATCAACATATTAATGCAACTAGCGACTCATCCTCGCTTGGCTCACCCAATTAACACCTCGCGGTTAATTTCTAAGAAAATAATTGTTAACCGAGTCACGGGCCACCTATGGCTCGGCGGTCGTTGACAGATTAAGGGATGATTTCCGAGATAAAAAGAATCCTATGTCCTTCCCAGGGTCTTAAACTACTTCTTACCAAATTTCATCTAAATCGGTTCAGTAGATACAGAGATTATCCCCTCAACGTCACAAACTCACAACTTCACAAACTTTAACTTTTTATAATATTAATATAGATAAAGCCACAATTGTTATGAAAATATGGATTTTACACGAAAAAGATGTTTCTATTCGTTAAAGGTTACCTTTTGTAATGACTCATTTAGGTATAGAAATGTTCTAACTTTAAGTCTCCATAACTTTTGACTCCTTCGTTACCTCAAAATAATTTTTATATATTTGAACTCCCTATCGCCCCCCTATTCAAAAATACCACTTGTTCATGAGCTTCGTCCCCTATACTAAACTTGTGCCAATATTGATTATGATAAATGAAAATGTGTGCTATAATATTTCTATAAATAGTTTATGCTTACCTAGTAAAAACTAGACATAGCAACGTTACACATAATATCATAAGTTGTTGGGATAATGCCGATTGTGACTTCTGCATAGCACGGTGCAAATCATTCTGTAAACATTTCATTATGAGTTAAAAAAATTTAAATCAAATATTGTAAAGCTATCTTATTAATACTTACAAACATGTTTTCAAGTGATCTCTTGGCAAGCCAGCAATTTAAAAATACGGGTATAAATAAGTTACGAAGAGGCGGGAATGGTACCTGGAAAAATACGTATGTACTTTAGTATTCCTACCGACATGACATAAGAACTAATTAAGCATGAATACTTTTTATGGTTTTATTTATTTCATGCTCTACATATTATAAATGTTACTTATATTTTTTAGGTAAATAAGCACTACCGTCACTTGACTAGATACTAGTATCTAAATATATTAAATCACTATAGAGTAAAAATATGATAAATATATAGCTAAGAACGACAGATGCCTAAATATTACACAAAATATATACTTTTGACGTTCCTATTGCATAGAATATTGAGTAACTTAGATACTCACAGTTAGTGCGAACGGAACTGTGTTAACCATTTCCAATATAAAGTGAAATGATAACACCTGTTGCCAGATGTTGCCCTTGAAAGAAATAGAAGTATAGTGCATAACAGCTTTGTATGATATAAACTATTTATTACCATTTAAATCGAGGTCTACAATAGTTACACTATAATTTGTTTTGGTTGCTTGTCAATATTTTACTAGGGAAAAATTAAACAAATCGACAATGATAATTTTATCCAACACTGTCTGTTCAAAATTAATAAATTTACTTATTAAAGTTAAGCTTCATAACCGACTAGCGACTCACCCTCGCTTGGCTCGGGTTCGTCCCTACGTACGTTATAACTGTTTGTAAACTTTTATCCCCCTTTACACACCCTTAAGGCATGAATTTCGGGATATAAATAAGTACTATGTCCTTCCCAAGGTCTCAAACTATCTCCATACTAAATTTCATCTAAATCGGTTCAGCCGTTTTGTCGTTAACAAACAAACAATCAAACAAACAGTTACTTTCGTATTTATAATATTAGTAAGTATGAAGTATGGATAAGAAAAATTCTTGAAAACTTTACGAAGGAAATCAATCAATACGCTCGTGTAGCTTTGAAATGTAAATAGTGATTAATATTTTTATGTTCAACGAATTGATGTACATTAATAATAAATAGTTATAGGAGAGCGTTATAGTTACCTTGTAGCCGAGGTATACGAGTAAAATCGCTTCTGCCAAAGAAATCATTGCGAGAACTACCTGGACACCCCATAGGTAGAGTGGTCGGTTTACCCATACTATTCCGTCCCAATTAATGATAGGGTGTTCTTGAAATTCTTCTTCAGTGAGATTGGCAGAGTATTCAAATTCGGTTTTATTTCCGGGTCTACACCCATAACTGAAATAATTGTATTCATATAGAAACAAATATAAATTCATTTCTATTATAGAGTAGACGGACAATATATAGACACTTCTCCAGTCTCCGCTGATACAAAGTAGTGACAGAGAGCTTTGGATGACTTAACCAGATTCTCTGGTCTTAAACAGAATTAAATATATTAGTGATTTTCAATAAATTTTACTCTGCAGATATCGAACCTAAGACATTGTGACTAGGCAATACTAAGCAATAATATTCCAGTCGTTCGTTATAAATAAATTAAAGTTGAATATAACTTAAGGAAATTACTAAAGCTATTAAGCTGAAAATAACAGTGTAGCGGAATTACAAGAAATTCTATTTTTATCTTTACATACATTAGTCTATTATTATTTTAATTTCATTTAATTCTATGAGTTGCTTTTGCAATATGATATAATTTTGTAGTATTCTATAATATTGCATTATAGAATACTACAACATTATATCATCTTTATATATATAATTCTTCTGTGAGTGTGTATGTCACTGAACTTCTCTCAAACGACTGGACCGATTTTGATGAAATTTTTTGTGTGTGTTCAAGGGGATCTGGGAATTGTTTAGATTCACAATTTGAATAATAATTTTCATCAAAAAAATTATTAAAAAAAGTTTGAAATTTTCAAATTAAAGACGTGTAGACAGGACAACGTCTGTCGGGTCCGCTAGTATTCTATAATATTGCAATCGTAATAGTTTTACTCATGCGATTTATTTCTAAATAAAGGAATTTTAATTAATTAATTATTTTTATTACACATTTTATAATAAACGTTTTAATATGTAATATAAGACCCAGTTATGCAAAAAACAGCCATGTGCGTAAAAGTAAAAACAGAGTTATAAGCATTTTTCTGTCGATAGTTGCACTTGGGTTATGTTTTGTTTTTCTAGTTATTTTAAAATTAAACACTATTTATATAAGTGTTGTTTATTTTTTATAATTATTTTATTTTTTATAATACAATGCTTATGACTGTTGGTACTTTTACGCACATGGCTGTTTTTTTGCATAACTGGGTCCTATTAATATATTATAAATAAACTAATTTTCATATTTACTACCTAACAAAACGCGCAGCTTATATCGCTGGGTCCAGAAGAGTAAAGTTTTGTACAAGAATTAGAACGGGTTCATCGGACAACGTACCATAGGGGTCCGTAGGGGGTAAAACTTTGGAAGTTCGTCAATTCTGATGTTAAAAATAGACTGGAATTTTAATGCTGATGAAAGTTCGTCGGGCTTATTGCTTGTAGTGTTATAATAAAATGAAGTACTTACCAACTAGCGGAAATAGGATCTCCGTCGGTACAAACGCGTAAAATGTACAGAAAGCAAGCTAAAAGCTTGAAAAATAGATTAACTATCCTAATCCGTAAACCTAGAACAAAAATAATACATGTTAGGTTATATTTGCATACTTAAATAGCAAATTTTATAGTTAAGGCCTAAGTCTATTATTTATTGAAGTTAGGTATTATTTAAAAACTTACAACAAGTACCTATTAAGAAAACCTAGAAACTAATATCATTTAAGAATAAAAAAAACACACAAATCCATCTACATGTATAGGAGCTATTTTGTACAAACATTTATGTATCAAAATTCGTTCACATACTTCAAGTACATATTGTATGACGTATGATCACAGAAGCTCCTGTAGCGTCACTTAAAACTTCTTACAGAACTGCAATGTAGATGCTATGCTTTAATGGCGAAATTATCAAAAGTAATAAAACTGTGGTAGGTACACAAAATCAAGGAAAAATTATTGCGTGTCACTTAAGTTTTAATTTACAAACATTTGAATTTCGAAAGCTCTGCGCTTCAGGTTATTTTATTTATAATGTATTTTTATCTTTTATTTTTCATTTATAAGTATAAGATTGTAACTAGAAAAAGCTATCGTAACTAGAGCTTTTAGATCAGTAAATGAACAAAATAGTGTTTACCGATTGCCCTTCAATTAAATGGTTCAATTTCGTAAGTGACTTACTTTCGTGTTTGCTTAATAGGATAATTACTTTGTTTTGTATATACACCTGTATCTTGTAGGTATTGACTTGCAAAGAAATTGTTATTTTGATTTTAAGCATATGTTCTGGCACTTTTTTATTGTAAAGACCTAAATAAGTTTCTGCTATTTATAAGGAATATGATAAAGTATTTGTAATAAAGGTTTTTAACAATAAATATCATAGGCTGGCGTAGATTAATGTATAATAACGATCTAACTAGATATATGTATGTAATAATAATAATGGCTTCCTGACCGATTCCGGCCACGGCGGCCAATCTCATTGAGACTAGCCAACAGCGCAGGAGATATTATAGTGCACAAGTGTACACGCAGACACAAGTGCACTCTCTATTCCTGTCACTCTCATACTCCGGTGGGACGACTGCTCGACACGACCGGTGAGAGTTAAGGCGCAGGACCGACGGCTTTACATGCTCTCCGAGGCACGGGGATGACACACCGCCAACTTCCCAACTCCGGGTTGTTACTGAGGCTTAATCTACAGAAAGACTTAATAACTAAACAATGCCCGACCTGGGACTCAAACCCAGGACCTCCGGGTGTGCAGCCGTACATGCTAGCCACAACATCACCGAGGCAATTATATAGTTAGATATATGTATGTATATCACTAATATTGGTTTGTATATGACCTATAAACTACTTACTCGAACGTTGATTCTTTATAAAATATAGTTGCAGTCTTTCTTTGAATGTATTTTCGTTCACGTAATATTCCACTCGCACTCTGCAACAAAGAAACAAAGGGATTTAAAGATTAATGTCATTTCACTGTAATAGAGTCGATTGCTGTTTGTTGAAAAATCAATGCAATCCAATCCATTAAGCTTACAGAATTGTTTATTAATATTGACTTACAATCTACATACATATATTTAAATTAATTTATTATGCATAAAAGTGTATTATGTACTTAGATAGTTTGCAAAATAAAAGAAATCGATCGAAAAACTTATTGAAGATGAAAAAAGCAATTTGAAACAGTAATTCAATAAGGGCCTCAATCATCCCTTTTTCATAAAGGCCCTTTACCTTTTTGTTATATATTTGACAGTAAAATGTCAATTACAATATTTAAGAAATTTTATTTCACGGACATACCTACTCGTAATGATAAATAGGGTGATAAATTTTAAATAATAAAATTATATTTTCGCATAAAATTTAATTTAGACATTTATTATTCGAAGTCAATAAATCTCCCCGAAGAAAACGTGGCCCTTCAAATGAAAAACATAAATAATTGTGTGTAGTTATTTCGTAATAACATATTTATAAAATATTTTATGAGTTAAGACACATTAAAAATTTACACAGAATTTTTATGATTTTAGTAGCGTACAACTCTGCAAGTGTTGACTTGAACGAAAAAGTCACTTAGTAATATGTATATAAGTTTTAATGATCTATATAAAGATACCCCATAAGCTTATTAGAACTTAAAAAAAACAGTTACATATATGGAGCGTCACCTCTATTTTTTATATTTTTTTTCTTAATATGATTACGGAACTATCGAGCGATTTACTTAGGACAACCACTAATCTTTCAGCAATGTATCTCCAATAGTTTTCGAGTAAAATAAGCTCTGTGACATACAGACTAACAGATACAACTAACAACTAATTTCGGTACACTTTTGGATATTGATAGTTTTCGTATCGCTTTAGGTCTTCGGCGGGTACACCGCTGTGCACTGAGCACAGATGCCCGTGTGGAAAAGAGGTTGACTGTTATAGACTCCATGGACTCTCTTGCAAAAGAAGTTCAGGCAGACTTTTCCGTCATGGTTTCCTAAACGATACCATCAAAAGAGCTCTTGCCACCATTGACATTCCTGCAATTATTGAGCCATCTGGAATAAGTCGAGATGATGGTAAGAGACCTGATGGCCTGTCGCTGGTTCCTTGGAAAAGGGGACGGGTCCTATTGTGGGACGCTACATGCGTTGACACATTGGCCCCGTCCCATGTCAGGGAGACCGCGTCTAAAGTGGGAGCTGCGGCGGAAAAGGCTGAACTACTTAAGTTGCGTAAATACACCTCCCTTAGTCAAAATTATGTTTTTATTCCATTTGCTGTAGACACCCTTGGCCAATGGAGTAAAAGTGCTAAGCTCTTCTTAAAAGACATATCACCTCGTCTTATCGTCTCTACTCGTGACAGGAAAGCTGGCGCATTTTTCGCCCAAAGAATCGGCATTGCCATTCAACGGGGGAACGCGAGTTTACCGAAGCGTCGATCCTTCAATATAATCTCTTCTCTGACATAGAAACTAGACCTCGTCTCGAGGGATAGGAAGACTTTTAAGTCGGCTTTAATATTTAGCATATTCAAATATGAAGGATTCATACTGAGGCAATTAACGGTAGGAGAGGATAAAGTGTATTGAATATTTGTTTTAGAAATTTGAAAGTTAAAAAGTATGTACTTAAAGTTACTGAAAGAAATGTTTACAATTTAGGTAAGTATGTTCGTATGTTAGTATTATTGATTTTCATATTTACCTACTCTAGGTATTAAATTTTTCAAAAAGTAATAAAAAACATTAATAAATCTGGCCTTATAGTATCTGAAAGTATGGTTTACAGTAGGTCTATTGGTTGCGGATCAAATGATATACGAATACGCGACATATAATGTACGCGAAGCGAAGCGAATGTATGCAGCGTTTCGAAGAGATTATCAATATAAATATTTAGAATACACAATGTATTGCACAAAAGATTTGTGAAATACGACTTTACCGAAATATTGTATTTAATTTACGTAGCTAACAGCAGGAAGCTCTATATACGAGTTTCGTGCAGGTGGACCATAAGTAACACACTGGGGAGCATTCTTTAATCGTAACAACTTTCTATTTAAAGATTATTATCTAGCGCTTGGAAAACTCATTAATGTTTGTTATAATAACATTTGAAGGATTGTAAGCTTTAGCGATATTGGTATTAAAAATTAATCCCTTTGTGTCATATAAACTTCTTATTCTCGTATCATATGGATAAAATCCAATTTCAAAGATGGTATTTGAAAATAACCAGAATTCTTTTTCAATTAAGAAGAATCATATTCTTTAAATGAAATTGTACTGTATTGGAAAACATGGGTACATGGAATTGATTGGTGCTTAATAAAATAAGACCAATTCGAGATAGAAATTAGGTCGATGTTCCAGGTCATTGTTCTATTATAAAGATAAGTTAAACTTAGTTTTCTTTAATTTTATACGACTACAATAATTATGTAAATTTGTATACAAATTATTTTATATAGTTACTAGCGACTCACCCCCGCTTCGCTCGGGTTCGTCCCTAGCTTGCTTCCCAATACAAACTTTAAACCCCATTAAGGGGGTGGAAGGATTTCTGGAATAAAAATATTCTATATCCTTCCCAGGGTCTTAAGCTATCTTCTTAGCAAATTACTTCTAAATCGCTATAGTAGATCCAGAGATTACCCCTTACAACGTCACAAACTCACAAACTTAACCTCTTTGTAATATTAGTATTGATTATTATAAGCTTTTTATTCTTTTATCACATAGTTAAAATCAAATTTCAAATATGGTATTTGAAAATAACCAGAATTAAAAAGAATCGTATTTCTTTAAATAGAATTGTACTGTAGTAACATGGAATTGATTGTTACTTAATAAAACACATCAGATTCGAGATAGAAATTGGGTCGATGTTTCAGGTCATTGTTCTAAATATAATCTGTATAAAGGTAAGTTAAACTTAGTTTTCTTTAATTTTACACCACTCTTATAACTACGTAAATTTGTATACAAATTATTTTATATAGTTATATACAAATTTAACGTTTTTGTGCCTAGTTGGGAAAGGCACATAGGGACGCCTCTGACCGAAGTTTTTCTTATCTTGCACGTTTGGCTTCCTTAACCTGATCTGACAACCTGTATTTGTAGTGGGAATCGAGCAGACGTTCCAGTTGAGTGCAACTTATAAGTCAGCATTAAGTTATATTTACTTTATTTAAAACTTTAAACTACATAGTTAACTCCTTTATTCCAAAGTAAGTTTTGAATCTCACTAATTTCTCAAGAAAACGACCAGATATTTAGAAATAGCATAAACTACTTTCCGGTCCAGAAACTTTAATTAAAAAGCTACCATGCTCCTTTGATGTCTGAAAGGATCTAATAAAAAACTTTTACGTTTATGATGTAAGTAGTAAATAACTAAAAAATATATTCATGTTATAGAGACTTTCTATCCTTTATTCAACTGCCCAATAGTTATTTTAAAGTGTTATTTATAGCATTTATATATTTTCGTTTTATATAAACTTTTAACTTTTATTTCGCCTGACGTTTTAACAGAGTATAAACATAAGACAATCGGCTTTTACCAAGATGCAACTGTCGAAACGTCGGTCGACAGTAAAAGTTGAAATAAGTCTCGTTATATATTTATATTTTCGCATTAGCAATACTTTCTTTTATAGCTTCAAGTGTTTTTAAGTTTAGATTGCATATTTAGATTGAAAGTATTAAAGTAAGACTCGTGCACCGACTACTATTTTTGACTACAGTTTTTATTTGTGTATGTACCAAAATAATAAGATCTAGGAAACTACTTAAGCGCGAGTTCGACTTTAGCCGTTTTTATTGTTTTACTACAGAGATTTCTTCTTTCTTATTTTACTTTTTCTTAATTTACAATAGTGGAAAAGAATAAAGCTTTATAACAATTTTATTTTACTTAATTTATCAGCAAATCTGTCTTATAATAGGTAAAGAGTACTGTTAAAACTCCAATATTTTCATGAAACTTTTAACTATCCCACGGGAAACCTTTTATCTGTAAAAGAAGTACTCGAATGTACAATGATCTTAGCCAATTATGTTACTAATCAAATCCTTTTAATGTGACAATGTAACAAAATAGGATATATATGCTTCAAAGTTTTATTATAGTTTTGAGATTCGATCAAAATATACAAAGAAGGCATCGCTGAGCTTGTGCTGTCACAATACAGTCAGTCAATAAGAAAATGGGGTAAAATTTTGGACAAAGTTATTAGACACGTAGCATCTAGCAGACATAATTTCATTGAATCTTCAACCATTCTTATCCGCCGAGCCTTTTGAAAAATTAGAAAACCGGGTTGCTTTCATTTTCTAACTTTCCTCAGTGCTAAGGTAAAGTAAGTTTAGTTGCAGACTTTTATAATTAGTACGCCAGTTAAAACTTTGATATTGATTGCTTTGAATTGATTTACTGCAAACTTTAAACTTCGCGGGTGTGTGGATAAGATTTTTATTTTACGAGTGAAGTTACATATATCCAAGTTACTAATAAAGTAATTTAATTATGTCCAATGTAAATATTCAGAAAAATAGCGTACATTTTTGAATACTCATAAGCCATCATAATAAAATGAAGAATTTACTTCATTAGACATTCCAGTATGAATCATACTGAAGTTAACAAAGCACTCGAATATATCGATTTTTCAACGGTCTAAAATTTCATATGATTAGAAAATACTATATCGATTGTCTTTACCTTGAAAATATCCGCGAATCATAGAATGTTGAAGTCTATAACTTTAATCGCACATTTTGTATTAAAATTGCCAGTTGCCATTCACTACTTCTTTAAATTATACTTTTGGTGGAAAATTATTAGAAGTTCGCGACATTCACTATGTTAGTCTATAAAAACATACAATGGGCGGTTTCTTTGCTCGAAATGGATTT